CCAGCCAGTTTACCAGCTGTTAGGATTTCTGCGACTTGAAGGCCAAAACATCTGGGGACCCACAGGTTGAGAACCACTGCCCTAAATGGTTCAAGCCCAACTTACCTATCTGACTGCATCACCTCTTACCAACCTGCCCGATCATTAAGATCTGGGGAGTTGCCACCGCCAGAAATAGGCGGTGGTGAGAGAGGGCATTCTCGGTAGCTGCCGGCCCTTTGGAACACCCTCCCCTTCCCTGTTATCTTTCAAGAACCATCTGAAGACCTACCTGTTCAAGCAAGCTTTTGTTGAATGAATTCAATTGCTAATGACAGCAAGATTGTTTGCACTGAGCTTAGCAAAATATACTATTTTTAACTGGAGAGTCTCCACAAGCATTGTAATTGGCTATAAATGTTTAATAATTATATCATATTTCTGGGTGTTATGTTTTGTGGGATTTTTTTGTCTTGTATTTTATGTTTAAATGTGCTTTTCACTTGTATTGTGTTGTGAGCCGCTTTGGGTACCATCAGGGAGAAAATCAGGATCAAAATGATTGGATTATGTGATTTTAATATTCATACTATGATGTTTTAATGCTTTAAAATGTTTCTCATGTTTAATGATTTTATAGTTATTTATTAGTATTTAATTATGATTTTTTTTCTGTCGACATGTATGTTGGCATTGAACTTTTGCCATTAGTATGTTGAATCTCCCCCCCCCGTGAGAAAAGCAGTATATAAATATATAAATAAATAACAGTATTATTTTAGGCTTGTATGTTGACATTGAATTTTTGCCATTAGTATGTTGTAAACCACCTTGAGTCGTCGTCCCCCCCCCCCCCCAAGGGTGAGGAAAGCTATATAAAAATATAGTCAATAAATGAAATATTATGTTTAGGCTTAAATTCACGGCCTGATCTCAGGGAGGACTAAATTGTAGTCCCATAATTGATACCTCATGTGTTTCTGGGAAGATCCCGGAATTACCCCTTCCCATTACTAAATCCACGGATTCATTTCCTGAAGCTCCACTTCGGGGCTTATTTTCAAAAATCAAAGCGTCTGTAAATATCCCGAGTCTCATTCTCTTGGTAAATAAATAGAAAAGGAGGAAGCTGCCCTGGAGGGGGAGGACAAAATGCCTGCCTGCCTTCCTCCCCGCCTCCATTTCCCCGCCCCGAGCGCCATCTTGTTAACCCCAGCTCCAACAAGAGGGGCCTCTGGAGCGTCAAAGATGGCGGCGGCGGCAGCGCTGCCTGTTTGGAGGCCTCGCGCCCAACGGCCGCTTTCGCCTCGCGGAGGGGCCCAGCCAGCCCTTCCGTTTCTTCACTCTTTTCCTCCCCCGCATGCGCAACGCCCACCGCGCGCGCAGCCGCCTCCACCACCAAGCGATAATTTCCACGCATGCGCAGACACCCTACATTCCCGAGGCTTCTCGAAACGTGCTTGCGCTTTGTAAAAGAAGGCCTGGCTATTCTTTTCTGCTTTATCCCATTCACCCGCTATTCAAGAACGGCAGCGGACGCTGTCCTCTTTAATAATATGGGAGGATTAACATTCCTTCCATTCCCCACCAAAACAACCCATTATTTTCGACCCCCGCCTTACCAAAAAGGTGTTAACAGCACTGGAGCAGCGGAAAATGCGGCCGAGGCACCGCCCGCTCGACGCTTATATAGGGGCCCGCCCATGAGGGAGGGCCACGTGACCGCTGCCGCTCCTTTTATGGGCATCGGCGCCTGCGCGTGCGCCTTGGTGGGACTTTTCGCCCAATCGCGGGGCCCGAAAGGACGCGGGGAGTGCGGGGACATCCGGGTATTTGTTCAACTTTCTCCCTCCAAAGCACATTTTAAACAAATTGCGTAGGGAAAGATTTCCGCCCCAGTCCGGCGTCCTTTTGTCACGCAGGGAAATTAAAATGTCGCTTGCTTGCTTACTTCCGGCCAGGATTAGATTTCGAAAAGGGAAAGGCGTGGGGGCAGAAATGGAAGGGAAACCAACGCAATCACAACAGGGATTTGGCAAGGCATTTATTATGATGATGATGGTTGTTAGCCACAGGACTTCAGGACGTCCATCCACACGATCCTTGCAAAGAAATGGAGGGGCCCAGTGCTCTTCTAGGCCCTTCCACGGAGGCCCCACATCCTGGGATCTGAGCCCAGCTTTTCTGCTTTAAACTGGATTAAGAGAATGAATCCACTTTAAATCCGGTTACTGCCTCCTGCAGAATTGTGGGGTTTGTGGTTTAGAGGAGGAGCCTTCTCATTGTGTGGCCAAAGTATTATCTTTGCCTCTAATATCCTTCCCTCCAGCATTATTTCCTGGAATATAGACTGGTTGGATCTTCTCGTGGTCCAAGGCACTCTCAGAACCTTCCTCCAGCACCACAGTTCAAAAGCATCTTCTCAGTCTTCACTGAGAGGCCTGACTTAAACTCTCTTGCCCCACATTTGTATTTTTCCTTTATTTTTTGTTAACAGATAAAGAATCTCTTGTGGCTGGATCTCTGCCTGAAATTAGAATTAATAGCAGCAGCCTTATGAAGCAATATTCTGAATCGGAATTGTTGTTTTTATTGCCTTTTAAGTTTTGTCTGCCTAAGATGAACCAATCACAAGGTTTTCTTGGCAAGACTTATGCAGTGAGCGTTTCCATGGCCTTTCTCCGAGGTTGAGAGAGTGTGGCTTGTCTAAGGTCACCCAGCGGGTTTCCATGGCTGAGCGGGAATTCAAAACATGTTCTCCTGAAGTGCTAGTCCAAAGATCATAGTGATACTCCATACAAACGTCCTTATTTAGAATAACCAGTGCAAAAAAGGAAAGGTCTTAGACATGCAAAACTACAACAGGACCACTAGAGAGATAGAGAGAGACCAAGCAGGAGGATACTCCAAACTGGCTAAAAGTAAATTTAGACAAGTCATAGATTTTTTCAAAATATGAACAGGTAGATAATTTAAATTGTATGTGTGTGTGTGTGTGTGTGTGTGTGTAAAATCTAAAAGTGAAAATATGTATGTATCAATGTATGCATGTATTTTGTATGCACAATTTTCCAGGATATGTATTGTCGAAGGCTTTCATGGCCGGAATCACTGGGTTGTAGGTTTTTCCGGGTTATATGGCCATGTTCTAGAGGCATTTTCTCCTGACGTTTCGCTTGCATCTATGGCATGCATCCTCAGAGGTAGTGAGGATAGCTCCCAAATCCAGAACCTTATCACACTAGAGAATGAATCCACTTTAAATCTGGTTGCTGCCTCCTGCACAATTCTGGGGTTTGTAGTTTAGAGAGGGGCCTTTAACAGCCTCACTAAAGTACAAACCCCAGAATTCTCTCAGAGGCAGAAACCGGATTTTAAGTGGATTCATTCCCTAGTGTGATGTAGTATATGAGTCTGCACGACCAGATAATCTGGGATAAACAGAAAACCTCTGATCTGATCCTGGGATATAAGGCCTGTCTAGAAGGGCCCTGTGTTTACCCTACTAAAGGATGCCTTTTGCTGGTGATTTTGTGTTTTAGGTAAAGCGGAACATAGCTGTTGCAACTATTGGGCAAGTAAAAGAAAAGTAAAAGGAGAAGTGTGTATACTGGAGGCCCGGCCACACAGCCATATAACCCAGAATGTCAAAGCAGGTAATCCACAATATTTGCTTTGAACTGGATTATCTGAGTCTACACTGCCAGATAATCCAGTTCAGTGTGGATTTTCTATAGCTGTGTGAAAGGGGTCTGGGTCATCCACACAGCTGTAGAAAATCACATATCTGCTTTGAACTGGGGGCCCTTCCACATAGCCCTGTATCCCAGAATATCAAGACAGAAAATCCTACACCTGTGTGTGGATTGAGCCCCTTCCACAAACCTGAATAAAATCCCACATTATCTTCTTTGAACTGGAATATATGGCAGTATGAATTCAGATAACCCAGTTCAAAGCAGGTATTGTGGGATTTTCTGCCTTGATAGTCTGGGTTATATGGCTGTGTGGATGAGCCCTCAGCCTCCATAGGTTCCACCATCCACAGCAGGAAATTAAATTTGAAAAATCCAGAAAGCAAACTCTGGTTCTTCTATCTATATATATATATATATTAAAAAGTCAAAATATGTATGTGTGTATGTTCATTTGCACCACAAAAGCTCCCACGTGGCACGATGAATCTGTGCCAAATTTGGCACACAGGCCCTTCATTCCCCAACTTTAAACGAAGTGGGGGTTACAGCTATAAAAACCAACCCATTTTACTTCTTTCAAGCCTTTACCAAATGGCATAATGTGCCACAAATGGAAACAATAATGACACGGGTGGGATTTAGACACAGCACTCAAATAATCCAGTTCAAAGCAGATAATGTGGATTATCTGCTTTGATGTTCTGGATTATATGGCAGTGCAGAAGCACCAGCTGTAATCATGCCAGTCCCTTTAGCTACACTTACAAGGAGAGTCCCAAAATAGCTCTGCTGGACTGTCCCCCCCCCCCCCCCATCAACTCCAATGGAAGCAGGTCTTTTGCATATCCAATGGATCTTGCTCATCAAAGGCCAAGCCATACCCAAATACTTTGATTTATAATAGAGTGTTATTAAATCAATTTTCCCGGCAACTAATGTGGGAATTACAGAGAAAATCAGGCCCCTTCCACACAGCCGTATAAAATCCACATTGAACTGGAGTTTATGACAGTGTGAACTCAGATAACCCAGTTCAAAGCAGATATTGTGGATTATCTGCCTTGGTATTCTGGATTATATGGCTGTGTGGAAGGGCCCTCAGAGGAAACAAGAATGTAAGGGGATGGCAAATGACATCAGAGCCATGCTATTAAAAAAGCCCTGTGGCTCCACTACACTACTAAGTATAAGGCCTAAGAAATGTAGCCAAAAACGTGTATGCGCTGAAAACACATTTTCAAAAATGCCATTAAACTGCCAATAAAGCACAGCTCTTTCATGGCAAAGGCATGGGCATTCTTCAGCAGATAGGTTGCCATGAACTTGGCAGGGGCCAAGAAAGGGTGTCACGCTCTGGCTTCTCCTTAAGAGTGGCTTTGTGTTCCCCGTGTTTATGTGTGTTATCCCCACCTGGATGCACCTTATACATATTTTTGCATGCAAAGAGACCCTCAGTTCCAAAGGGTGCTGGGATCAAGACTCAGTGAGATCATGGAAGGTGGGGAAGTAACTGTGGGGGACCCAATGGTGCGCAGAGGGGTGTACCAGTCTTCGTGAGTGCGGGCAGTTTGGGGGCATGGGAACTGAGTTGGAGCTCCAGATGGAGTTGCGGGAGGGAGAGTATAATTAGAAGGAAAACGAGGCAGGTGATGGTGTGGCCCAAGGGTGGGTGGGTACTGATACTGCCGCGTTGGAGGCATGGGAAGGGGACAGACAGAGAGGACACCCGTGGTGGCAGATTTGGGGAACGCTCGTTCCTGCTTCCGCTGTTTTGCTCGTCGATTCTGGAACCAAACCTGTGAAAAGAAAATGAGACCAAATGTATATTGTGAAGTACAGTCAGACTTACACGCCTGCTGGGGTTAGGGTTTGTGAATGCCTGTAAAAGTGGAAAACTATTAAAATGCTTTTTTTAACCCTCAAGAGTACCTCTCTAAGAATATCTGTGGCCCATCTTACACTGAGCTTATATTCCAGGATCTGATCCCAGATTATCTGCTTTAAACTATATTATATAACTCTCCAATGCCATATAATCTGGGATAAGCAGAAAATCTGGGATCAGATCCTGGGATATAGGGCAGTGTAGAAGGGGCTTGTATCTTCCAGTATGGCACACTCTCAACAAGACCCTACATTCTCTAGTGCAGGGGTTCTCAAACTAAGGCCTGGGGGCCAGATATGGCCCTCCAAGGACATTTACCCGGCCCTCGCTCAGGGTCAACCTAAGTCTGAAACGACTTGAAAACACACAACAACAACAACCATATCTCATCAGCCAAAAGCAGGCCCACACTTCCCATTTAAATACCAATACGTTTATATTTGTTAAAATTGTTCTTCATTTTAATTATTGTATTGTTTTTAAGTGGGGTTTTTTGCACTACAAATAAGATATGTGCAGTGTGCATAGGAATTCATTCATGTTTTTTTCAAATTATAATCCGGCCCTCCAACAGTTTGATGGACTGTGACTTGGCCCTCTGTTTAAAAAGTTTGAGGACCCCTACTCTAGTGTGACTTTATGCTGACTTCTGTTGTTAGTTTCAGAGTGTTTCGCAGGGCCCTTCCGCACAGCTGAATAAAATCCTACATTATCTGCTTAACTGGAATATATGGCAGTGTGGACTCAGATAATGCAGTTCAAAGCAGATGTTGTGGGATTTTCTGCCTTGATATTCTGGGGGCCCTTCCACACAGCCCTAAAAAAAGTAAAGGTAGTCCCCTGACATTAAGTCCAGTCATGTCTGACTCTGGGGTGTGGTGCTCATCTCCATTTCTAAGCCGAAGAGCTAGCGTTGTCCGTAGACACCTCCAAGGTCATGTGGCCGGCATGACTGCATGGAGCGCCGTTACCTTCCCGCCGGAGCGGTACCTATTGATCTACTCACATTTGCATGTTTTCGAACTGCTAGGTTGGCAGAAGCTAGGGCTGACAGCGGAAGCTCACGCCGCTCCCCGGAATCGAACCTGCGACCTTTTGATCAACAAGCTCAGCAGCTCAGTGCTTTAACCCGCTTCACCGCCGGGGGCTGTTTTTCTTACTGTATACCAATTTTTTCCCCCACTGAATATACATATGTTTGTGTGACATGTTTGATGTGTGAGGAAAATATGAGCTTAATTTGCAAATCTCGGGATACAGGAGGGGTAAGGGGTATAGATACTTGAAGGTTCTGGTGTTTTCGAGTCCTTCCACACAGCAGTATATAGGGGCTTTGTGGAAGGGGCCTCAGATAGATATAATGATGCCATTCTCTTATGAAGAGTAAAGAAAAGGAAAGCAAGTCCAAGCATCATTATTTCATTTCACACAGAAATGCCTTACTGTGACTTATATTTAAGCAATTACACTGGGTTAGTAAATATGTGAACCTCTTGCCTTAACTATTTTATTCCTTACACTATGTAACATAACTTTTGTTCCTGGGTTATAAATGTCATTTCCTAATTGGTCCTATCACAAAAACATGGAAAAAGTGTATTAAGCTGTAAAACCTTTGTCTTTTACAGCTTAATACTTTTGCTATCGTTTTTCAATGAATATCTCATAAAGTCTCGACCAATTCAACATAGTTTGTGGCAGCTACAAAAACAAAATTTCTGGAGTATAACAACTACTTTCAAAGTTAGTACTGCACAATTAAACAGGAAATAACACTTTCAAACCAGGAACAGAAAATATTTCAAACATTGTTACATAGTTTTATTCTGAATAAACATATAGCAAAATTATGGGGGAAGAAGAAAAAGGTTTATTTCATTTTTTTCCTCACCACTGCCCCAGGCCTTCACATCTACTGTGGATTATCTAGATACGATAAGATGTTTTTCCATTTCTGGCATTTGGAGGCTGTGCTTGACTCCGGCCACTGGAATGTGTGCTGTTGCTCCATCTTCCAAGCCAAGGAGCTTTGTCATCAGTAGATGTCCTCCCGATTGAATGGCCAGCATGTCCTTATGGGTGCCTTTTATTACCTCCCCACTTAAAGCAAAACCTATTTATCTACTCACATTTCTGTTTCCGATCTGCTAGGTGAGCAGGAGCTGGGGCTGATGGCGGGCCTTCATCCCGACTAAAGCTTGAACTGCCAATCTTTCAATCGGCAGGATTTTCTGCAGCTTAGCAGTTTAACCCATTGTGCTAAGCCCGGTAAACATGTGACCAGGGGCGGCTCAACCCATTATGCAAAGTCAGCATTTGCAGTGTAGTTGATTTTGCCCAGGGGCGCTCTTGAGGCGCTCTTGGGGGGAAAATAGACCCTGACATATGCAAGTTGTAGTTACTGGGATGTATAGTTCACCTACAATCAAAGAGCATTTTGAACTCCACCAATGATGGAATTGAACCAAATATGGCACACAGAACTCCCACGGCGAACAGAAAATATATATCAGTGATTGGTTGGGGAGGGGGGCACGGCAAAATACTTTGCTTACAGTTGAAAATTATCTAGGGCCGTCTCTGCATGTGACCCACCTGGTTTTAAACCTTTTATTTGTCTTTTAAAAAGAACAAAAATCTATCATCATTAAAAAAAATCTGGGGTAAAATCCTGAATTTCCCCAACTTCTTCCCAACGTGCCTTCATACCTCTATTTTAGTTATCCCCCTTCTCATTGGCCTTATTCAATCACTTTTCCTGAATTGTATGGAATAGGTACCTGAATGCGAGCCTCATTGAGTTTGGTAGCTCTCGCCAGCTCCTCTCGACAGTAAATATCAGGATAGTGGTTTTTTGCAAAGGCGGCCTCCAGCTGGTCCAGCTGGTCCTGGCTGAAGGTAGTCCGGTGACGGCGACGAGCAGGAATGGAAGCAGCCTGGAGGGAAGACGAGGCAGAAGGAGAAAGCAAGGGGCCCCCAGCCAAGGCAGACACATCTGTGAACTTCTTGTAGAAGGAAGCTTCGATATCTGAAAGGAAATAGAGAGGGAGTCTGCCTTACCTGCAATGCTTTGGACCAGGAGCTCGCTGCATTTTGGAATCCTTGGGACCAGAAGTACATTGAACGTTGGATTTGCGCATTTGTGGTTTTGATTTATGTGGATCTGATTATCCATGAATTTGATGGCAATGTTCTCGCTAGGAATCTCTGAGTCCTCCAGTGGGACTATGTGATCAACTACAAGCACCCAAATGAAGACTTCTGTTTTTCCTCTCCTGAGAACTTTGATAGGCACCAAAGTAATGGGTGACTTTAACAACCATAGCCACATATGGGGCTATGCTCAGGAGGATAAAAATGGAGAGGCTGTCCTCTCTTGGGCTCAATTGCATAAATTCTTGCTTATTCATGATAGCAAGCTCCCACCATCCTACAACAGTGGGAGATGGCAATGAGGGTATAACCCAAACCTTCTGTTTGTGAGTGACAGTATTGTGCAACAGTGCACTAAATCAGTGGGACCACCAATACCAAACACACAGCATCAGCTGATAATATACCAGTTGTTTCCAACTATAATGGCTCACTAAGCTTGATTTAAATGAAGATTCAACTTTAGAAGAGATTAGTCTAAATTCTCATATATGTTAGATGACAAGATTATATCGGTTGCCCCAATCCTGAGAATACAAGTGCTTTATTGAAATAATAAAAATCCACAGACCACCTACTAAATGCAGCCTGAGCCCTGCCACATGCATAATGGAGGATCTTTTTACAGTGACACCAGAGACACTCCAAGTGGCCAGCTTCTGGTCAAAGAACTTTTAACATAATGCCAAGTTTTAAACTTTGTTTGTGTTTTTTTATATATTATAACTGTATTCTCAATTTGCTTCTGACACAATAAATAAATCCAGTCATTTGGGAGCCCTTGTGGCCTCAATGCAGTTAATCTGCATTAAGAAACTGGATTGTATGGCAGTGTAGATGGAGTTTAAGAGACACATCTTTAGCCTTCTCTGTAAAAGAGTGCTAATACCTCCCCAAACTACAAGTCCTGGGATTTCAGAGCATTGAGTGATGGCCGTTAAAATGGGGTCAAACTAAACTAGTTTGACAGTGCCAGTGCACCCTCAGTTTATGAAACATTGTGCAATAATCTTTCAGTTAACCTCAACGGTGGTAGAATATCCCTTTACATACCAATCCAGACTTAACTTGGCTCTGTCCTTGAATTCTTCTTTAGAGGAAGGCCACATCTTAAAGCAGCAGTTGACTGCCTCAGGAATGGTGACCCTTTTCTCCCATCCCAATAATGGAGTACCATTATGTCAATGTTTCCCCCTTTCTTTCTCTCCTTCTTTCTCCCCCAATTCCTTCTCCCAATCCCTAGGATTAACTGTGGGGAACATGATGCCCTGGCCCCCTCTCTCTGGGTGAACCTGAGCTCGTGAGAGCAAAGGGAGCACAATAGACTCATCTGAAAAACTAATTAATTTGGGACCCCATTGTCGAGGAACTTGAGCCCCCAGGATCTGAGCCAAAAGGCTTTCTCATTAACGTGGATGCATCCCGGTCTTTGGGGGAGAATGTGCCCCTAGAGAACTGCAAGTTCCCCCCTAGCCTATTTCAATCTTCTCCTTCTGCTCAACAGTGTCGTCTGCTTTTTAAAGAAGCTCTCATGTGGAAAATGAGTTTCCTTCTGACACATCCTCAGCTTTTGTTGAGGAGGCACAGTTGTTTCTCTCCTGAAAAGACCTCATAGCCAGCCCACCTCTCCTCGACACATAGAAGTAGGTCAAAAGGTGAGCACCAAACCCAAGAGAGATCCTATCGGCCTGATTGGGGATCTCTGTTTCCCCATAACTAGGAAGCGGATCTTACAGAAAACAAGGGAGGCAAAGACCCCTGACCCTATAAAAATTATTCCCCACTTCCATTACTGTTTGAGGGAAATGATGTGAGGCCGTTTAAATGGAAAAGACACCATCTACCGGTGGATCCATAAAATATAGTTCATAAACTCCAATACCATGGCTGTCACTAAGGTCCTCATCACACTAGAGCAGTGGTCCTCAACCTGGGGGTCAGGACTCCTGGGTGGGTCATGAGGGGGTGTCAGAGGGGTCACCAAAGACCATCAGAAACCAATATTTTCTATTGGTCATGGGGGTTCTGTGTGGGAAGTCTCACCCAATTCTATTGTTGGTTGGGTTCAGAATGCTCTTTAATTGTAGGTGAACTATAAATCCCAGTAATGACAACTCTCAAATGCCAAGGTCTATTTTCCCCAAACTCCACCAGTGTTTGGGGAAATCCATGTCAAGTTTTGTCCAGATCCATCATTGTTTTAGTCTACAGTGCTCTCTGATGTAGGTTAACTAAAATCCAAAAGCCAAGATCAATGCCTACCAAACCCATCCAGTATTTTCTGTTGGTCATGGAAGTACTGTGTGCAGAGTTTAGTTCAATTCCATCATTGGTGGAGTTCAGAATACTCTTTGATTGGTGAACTATAAATCCCAGCAAGTACAACTCCCAAATGACAAAACAAATCCTTCCCCCTACCCCACCAGTATTCAAATTTGGGCGTATCGGGTATTTGTGCCAAATCTAGTCCAGTGAATGAAAATACATCCTGCATATCAGAGATTTACATTATGATTCATAAGAGTAGCAAAATTACAGGTATGAAGTAGCAACGAAAATAATTTCATGGTTGGGGGTCACCACAACATGAGTAACTGTATTAAGGGGTCACGACATTAGGAAGGCTGAGAACCACTGCACTAGAGCATGGATCCACTTTAAATCTGATTGCTGCCTCCTGCAGAATTCTGGGGGTTGTAGTTTAGAGGAGGAGCCTTTAAAATGCTCAGTCAGAGAGGTCTTGGGCTTCACTAAGGCACTAAGTTTACTGTGCTGTGAAGCTGACAGGGTGAATGCTGATGTGGACAGATGTTGACAATGAGAGGTGCCTGATATTGGATAGGTACCTCTTATGCACCTGTTGCTTAAGAAAATGCTATGACATCTACTGTGTTTCCAAAAGGTGGCTTAAATGGACATTTTACCACTTATTTTGCTCACTTCTGTTGCTCATGAGGTGCCTGATATTGGACAGGCACCTCTTAAGCACCTGTTGCTTAAGAAAATGCTATGACATCCACAGTGTTTCCAAAAGACGGCTTAAATGGACATTTTACCACTTATTTTGCTCACATTTACTTGCTAGTACTACTACAATTGGTAAATAGATAGTTTAGTTACTCTATTCTGCTATTCATGTTTCATAGCTAGATGCATAGCCCTGGAATATTCTATCTTGTCTGTCGACTTGGATTCTTCTTGAAGCTTATTAAACAACAGTTTAAAGGGGGAAATCAGGAGAAGTATAATACCGTCAGTGTATCCAATTTAGCAGAGGAAAACTGCCTAGAACAAAACATTGCCATATGCTAACTTAAACCTGGCTGTTAAAATGTAACTCACAAAAGAAAGTTGTATGTTGCCTTTTGTTGGGTTGCACTGGATTCCTAACACTAGACTCCAATGTCCTTCTCAGAGCAGGAAATGGACCACCAATGCCCTGGTTCCAGTGTTCCCAGCACCGAAACCCCTGGTGCACTGCTTTTGGCATACTGCGTAACCTCCTTCTCACTGCTCCATTTCTACACACTCTCTCTGGTGTCATGATGCCCTCCTTGGACTCCATCTGCTTGTGGATCAGGGTTCCCCAACTCACCCGCTGTGGAGCTGACTGTCTCAGGAAAAGTGTTGGTGAACTTTGCGTTCTTCCTCTTGCTTGCTAGTTCGCCCTCCATCTCCTTTGATCCCTGCTGCATCCCAACATAGAAACTTTTAAGCTAGTTCTGACGTCATTATTTTCTCCTGGGCATGAGCTTGTGAAGGTGTGGCTTTTCTTACCACCTCCCACTCCTGGCCTAGAGCCCACCTTCCCGAGGGTGGGGATGGCCAGCAGGAAAGGAGGAGGGATGGAGATGGACAAGGTAAGAGGTCATTCCAACACTGGGTGCTTTTGCAGTTGGGTGTCTGCATCTCTCCCTCTCCTTCCATGGATGTATGTCAATCTCCATGCACTAGGTTTCATTGAGTGGAGGTACATATCTACATCTGGAAATGAGAGCAGTGCACAGACAGCCCTTTGAGCAGATGTTTTGTGGTGAGGTCCCCGGTCAAGTATCAGAGTCCTTCTTATGGTTTTAAGACTTGACCGGTATGTGAGCATTGAGTTCCTCAGGGATGCCAATTGCTTTTGTGAGTGTGTTGAATGCCTGTCTGCTTGACTGGGCTCTGAAGCCCTTGGTGGGTGGTGGAGACCCAGACCTAGGCCTCCTGGGATAAAGTTTTCACATTCAAGAGACACCTCTATTGTCAAAGCAAATCCCCTAAATAGCAGAAACCAAGGGGCCTAGAGAGAGGCATTCATCAGACATTCTGTCCTCAACTGCTTCTTCACCTCTACAAACTCTCCCAACAGTTGTTGCTTCAACAATCAGATCCAGAATGACTCAGTGAGCTTGGAAAAGGTTACTTTTAAGGACCACAACACCCAGAATTCCCCAGCCAAGATGCCCTCTGGCTGGTCCAGTTAGCTCTTTTATTTGGAGTAGGAGGAAGCTCCATTTTCCTTTTGCCTCAGATAATCAAGTTACTGTCAAAATATGGTGGCAACCCAAGAACAATTGTCAAATTTGGCTGTGACAGTCTCAATTAATTTATTTATCTCACTTTTTTGGTTGTCTTTAAAATGTTCAGTCTTCCTCTGTCTTCTTCCTCTTTTTCCTTTCATCCTAGCTTTCTTTACTTGCTGCAAACTGAGGTTAAAGTGCAAAAATAGTTTGGACTTGCTTAAATTGGGATGTGAGGGAGAAAGGACGAAGAGACTCTGGGCTTGCTTACAAACTTTACTCCACATGAATCTACCACTAATGGTTTTCACAATGCACAGGGACTTTCAGTAACCAGCCTGAACTTTTTGCTGAGGTTGCAGGAAACTGAGGTATCTGTGGGGTTTGTGGCCATCTGGACAGCTGGATCCACTGACCAGATGTTCATTGCCACCATCATCCTTTCCCTGCACTGATCAGCACAGAGAATGGAGTTGCTATCCATGAGTTGTTATCACCACTCCCTGGTAGCCATGGAGCTTCCCATGAGCACCTGACCAATGGGGTTGAATCTGATGTGGTCAGAATGAGGCACTGGCAGAATCTATAAGAAGAAGGGGGTCACTCAACCACTACTTGCTAGTTGTATGGACACCCAGTTATTACCTCAGCAGATATGACAGGCAATGGCCAATGAGTTGTGTGTCCAGTGAGGACTGGCAGTTGTGGTATATGGACAAAGAGATAGCCTAGCAGGGCTGATAGGGTCTTAGCCTGACTGGATACCAGTGCTGTAGGGCACATCTGCACAATCTGGTCTTCCAAGTGTTTTGAACTTCAGCTCCCAGAATTCCTGACCATTGGACAAAAGCTGATCAGGGCTTCTGGGAGGTTGTGCAGCCTGCTGCAGAAGGTTCTGCCTAATGTGTATAATGCTCTGGGCTGCTCCTCATTAAGCCACCAGTATAGTTTTGGCTTGAGTCTTGCCCTTCCATGTAAGTTTGGACAAAAGCAAGGTCATTCAGTCCCTATTAGCTTGTGTGCTCTCCCTCATGAATAAAATTATTAATGTAATTTTACCATGGCTGCAAGATATAACTGTTTAGATGTCCCCAAACAATTCATTGGGCGGGGGGGGGGGGGTGCTCACAGGGCATTTGAATAGATTTTAACTTTTTGGAATAAAACTCCCAGAATGTGTGTTGTTGTTCTTTTTGTGCTGAAGGAACCTATGAGTATTTTTATTGTTATTTCTATCTCTAGTACCAATTTTGTTAAAGAAGTATTGTCCAGGGACACAGCTGCATCATTACTTGTGGTATAGCTGCATTCTCTAACCACATTGCTGCTCAAACCTGGAAGTGGAGCCAGAAATACACATCAGAAAAAATAAAAATTCTGAGGACTGGTAGTTTTGATGTGAGTCGGGCTGTTATTCTGCTCCTAGCTTTTTGTACATCTTTATAGGAACTTTCCAGGCTACTGGGCCTGTTAGAGAATGAGGTTCTCCACCTTGGGGCACCTATTTTAATTTCAGATTAATGTGATATTTAGACATCCCATCATGCATTTTCTCACCAGCATCAGCCAGCTTGGTAGAATGTCATATGTTCCATTATTTATTACTAGGATGCAACATAACAACTGTTTTCATGTTGAATAACAATACAATACAGTAGTACAATACAGTACTACCTGGAAATGCTGGAGAATTAAACTGTGTTTGAATGTTGAACTAGGACATTGGGAAACCAGGCTTCAAATACCTACGTACTTTGTCAGAGAAACTTAGGGCTCTTCCACAGAGCCATATAACCCAGAATATCAAGGCAGTAAATCCCACAATATGTGCTTTGAACTGGGTTATCTGAGTCCACACTGCCATATATTCCAGTTTAAAGAAGATAATGTGGAATTTTATTCAGGTATGTGGAAGGGACCTAATGGGTAACCTGGGCAAGTCACACTCTTTTGCCCTCAGAGTAAATCAATGGCAATCTTGCTAAGATAGGTTCATCTTAGAATCTTCATTAAGTCAGAAATGACCTGAAGGTATGCAAAATAAGAAAAACAACTACTATGGCTGTAAACAAAATGTGTATTTGACTAGTGGACCTACATAACAGGAGAAAGGAAGCAAAGAAACAGAGGCAGATGTTATCTCTGTTTTGATGACAATTCCTAATTCTGTCTGTAACTTGGTATGTGCTAAATTTCCTTTTCTCCCTGATTAGAGATTACTGGAGAAATGACTGCTATGTCTGAGATCCAATTTATTGGCTAGAAACCTGCAATCTGAGTTCATAGTTCCGATGATGGAATCTATCTCCATTCTTGTCTGGACTTGCCTGCTGTCTTCAAATCTCATCCATAGTCTACGTAGACGGAAGCTGTAACACTGTGTACATAAGTGGGGAGGGCTACAAAAGGCATAGAGTGAACAAAAGAGTGAACAAAAGAAAAGAATGGGAGCCAGATTGGGCTGTATAGAACCTGGAAGAAATGCCCTGCAAAATAGTGTTACTTTCAGTCAGGCATGTAGCGGGGGGGGGGGGGGGGGCTGGAGGGGCTTCAGCCCCCCCCCCCCCGAAATTCTCATGGTGGTTCGTGAAAAGGCCTTACTGGTGCATTATTTAAACTGTTATGTTTATTCATATCATGATCTGATCACCATACTCAATATATCCCATATGCATGGGGGTATTGGGGTAATGATACAAAAGGTTTGCTAGGCTAGACCCTCTTTCACTCAGACTCAGTCCCCCCCCCCAAAACTCAGCCCCCCGAAACCCCCCCTGAAAATTTTAGCCTCCCCCCCCCCAAACGAAATCCTGACTATGGGCCTGCTTTCAGTATACTATCATGCTGGATAAGAAGTACCTAATGATAGTGGTTACTTTTTCACCTGTCTGTCTATGAAAGGCCAGCTGGATAGGTCCATCCTGGTCTATTCAGGGCAATCTGATGACATGTTATACATTTTTTTCTGAAAGAGTTTAAGTAGTTACATCAGGGATATAAAATGCAATCTGAAGAGTTCCCCAATATTTAAGGTACAGACCAGGGCTGAGCAAAGTGTGGTGCATGTGCCACATTTGGTGGTCCCAAACCCCATCCTCCATTTCAGTGGGAATATTTTGCCACATTTTGCATTTCTGGGTTCATTTTAAGTCTAGAAGGAGCATTTTCCCAAAACAGTTACTCTAGGTTCCTAAAAAGATTCCCAATATAATAGACAAGTATTGGGGGGTTTTGTAGGGAAAGGAAGCCATGACCTCCAAGGTCTCCAGGGAGGCTAATATGCCTGCCTAGGTCACTCTTTTCCCTAAATTGATCCAAAATAAGTCACAGAGAAAGTAGGGTTTCTGTCCCTGGTTTCAGCTGATATGAAGTTAGCACGCTCTGTACCTTTTTTCTGTGTGAGGAAAAGTGAATGGAGGCTATAGGATCCTGCCAGGAAAGGCTTGAAAGCCATCAGATGGATCAATTCTAGGAAGGAAGAAAAAGCTTTCTGAAAGGTTTTTTTTATAGCATTCTCTGTTACTTTTTGAGGCTTCCTTACAGAATTTGTCTCCACAGAGTTCTCAGGATCTCTCCAAAGAGTACTACAACACAGATGGGATCACCCCGAGACTTTTCTGTAGTGTACTCAGGATCTCTGAGTGGATTCCTGTATGTGAAGGCCAAGGAGGGTTCCTCTGAGGTCTGCTTCAGCATCCTTTGGGGAAATGATGTCACAGTTCATCTCATGTTCTAGAATTTCATGGAATTTCTCCAAGCAAGAGGAAGAATGCTGGAAGCTCATGGCAGCAGCGGGGTTCATGCAAAAGCAACAGTGACCCCAGGCTTTTCAGTGCTGCCTTCACTTTTGAAACACGTCCTGCGGCCCCCTGTGACCAACCTGGCTGGATTTCATCCTTTTCTTACAGACGGTGAGCTCAGTCATCTCACTCATGGGCAGCCGTGCACCACTTATGCTAATTAATTTAAAGGGAACTTTTGAGAAAATTAATTAAAAAGTATTTTCACCCTATGTTTCAATGCAAATACATAATGAAGACAGCATAACATGTCCATATCAATAAAAAAAAACACAGGATAGGCACAGATTGCTACAGAAATGCAAGCTATGTTTGGAATGCACCAGGATTTAGATTTCATTTCACACAGGAAAATGCATGCTACCCCTCGTGTTTTATAGGGAGGTAAAGAGAGGAAAACACAGTCAGTCTTTGACTTATATGTTCAGAACCCAATGAATGTCTGGGCTTAGTTTGGAACTCTGGGTTGCCATATAACATTTGCAAAACAGCCTGAGGAGATTGTGATTTTTCACAGGGAGTGGTTCCCATGACACTGGGAATCCATGCCAAGTTTTGGCTAGTTTTAAAGACATTGTCCAAGATTTTGATCCATTTTGGAGAGTGGCATTACCATTTCAGAGAGCCCGCTGAAAACCTGGCATACATTAATTGCCCCACAAACATCCAGCACAGATTATAGGGAGTTGGTACTTAGTTTTTTTTCATACAGGCTTATCTTCCCTGCAGCTTTGCTCTCATAAATATTACCCTATATATCTTGGTCACTAATAATAGCTGGAGTCAGCGAGGGGGCAGTAAAACCACTCCAGATTTTAGTTTGAGCTTTGCAAGAACTAGCCAAGGTGCTGAACCTTACCACCCTAATTGGTGCCAGCACCATGGAGAGCTCCCTTAAAGTTGAAAATAAAATTCACAATTTCATGGAAGCATGTACTTGCCACTCTTTGTCAGACTGTGTGGGAAAATGCAGTTGATGTGGGGAACAGTTCAGGGGAAAACTGGAGGTTTTAGAGAGAGTAGAAGCCATTTGTATGCTTTTAGAAGTCATTGTGTGTTTTTGCATCAGAAGCAGTGAGTACAGTTTAGACTTCAGTAGGAACAGAAGTATGCTTTAAACTTCAATGCAGGAACAATGTGCTTAGAGACATTAGACTCTCAGAATAGAGAGATGCTTTGGACTATAGACTATTGCAGGCTTCCTCAAACTGCAGACCTCCAGCTGCAGACCTCCTGACAATTGAACAAGCTCGTTATGGCTTCTGGGAGTTGGAGGCCCAAATAGCTGGAGGGCTTCAGTTTGAGGATGCCTGGACTCGGAGCGGTTCACAAATTGGCAACAATTCAATGCCTCAACAATTATAACAAGTAAAAACAATCCAGAAATTATGTTAAAAAACAATAGCATATGATATAAAAAATATAAAAACCGTACAAAGCCTTAAAATATTATCATGAGCATCTCCATGTCAAATCGTTATTCCATTGCGTACTTAAGTAGTTCCATATTTCCGTTTAACTATGCCGTATTTGGGAAGGCCTGATCAAAAAGCCAGGTTTTTACCTTTTTCAAAAAGTCAGGAGGAAGGGAGCTGATGTTATCTCTCTAGGCAGGGCATTCCACAGTTGAGGGGCCACTGCTGAGAAGGCCCTGTCTCTCGTCCCCGCCAGACGCATCTGCGAAGAAGGCGGGAGAGAAAGCAGGCCCTCCCCAGAAGATCTTAATGTCCTAGATGGTTCATAAGGAGAGATGCATTCAGATAGGTAAGTTGGACCGAAGCCATGTAGGGCTTGATAGGCTAAAGTCTGCACTTTGAATTGGGCCCGGAAGCAAACTGGCAGCCAGTGGAGCTGGCGCAACAGAGGAGTTACGTGCTTCCGGAGCGCCGCTCCTGTTAGCAATCTGGCTGCCGCTCATTGGACCATTTGCTGCTTCTGAACAGTCTTCAAATGCAACTCTATGTAGAGCGCGTTGCAGTAGTCTATACAGGATGTAACCAGAGCATGGACTACTTAAAATCCTATTGTAACTGGATTCATAAAGTGCCTGTATGGTGTATACATGAAGTTTGTGAGTAAACCAACTCCGTGACTTTTAAAGAAGACTGTTTATTTTGTCTCTTGAGAGCATGATTTAAAGGCAAATATATTTAAGCAAGATTATATGTTTTTTGGGCAACTAAAGGAACACTTCTGAAACTCAACAGCAGTGGTTCTCAACCTGGGGTCCCCAGATGTTTTTGGCCTACAACTCCCAGAAATCCCAGCCAGTTTGCCAGCTGTTAGGATTTCTGGGAGTTGAAGGCCAAAAACATCTGGGGACCCCAGGTTGAGAACCACTGCTCTACAGTATATATTCCCAAAAGGTCATTTGACACAGGACCCAAAAAGATTATGAATCCCATTTCGCAAATGGTTATGGAGATTTACATTTTCCAAAAATGATGATATCCTTCTTAACTCCTGAATGAGCAAGAAGTCTACCTGCTCCTCTCATATTCCTTAAAGAAAACCAAACAACATCCCCACGAACAATATCCAGGTTTGTGAAAGATTTTTTTCATGAAACAACCAATAAGTGGCATTCAAGCAGGACGTAGGCTACAACCTGAAATATTTCACAAGTTCCAACTCACTTTCTTCTTGGACTACCTAAATGTAAAGTTCCTCTGTAAACCCCAACTAAGAATCTTCCATCCATATTGGGAACAGGGAAAGTTGAGAGCGAGGGTGGGCGCATTTAAACGTTTTCACATTGCAGTCAGTGTGACTTCCTTCCCCTCCTGCCAGGTGGCCGAGACCATGGCTCCTTTGCTCCAGACCCTCCTCCTCCTCCTCCTCGCCTGCTTTGTGGACACAACCCAAGCCAAGCTGTTTGATCGCTGTGAGCTGGCCCATGTGCTGAAGGATAACGGGATGGATGGATTCGAAGGGTCTAGCCTCGCTGACTGTGAGTGCTGCTCCTTGGCAGAGGACCAAACTGAAGGACACAGAGTGCAAGTAGAGTCGGCTTCTCACATTCACTGGGGTTAGAGGCACAGGACCCATGCAAAAGTGGACTACATGGTCCATCTAGTCCAATCCCCTGCCATGCAGGAAAAGCACCACCATGTACCCCTGTAGTAATGTAATTAAGGAAGTTCAGGCCACTCACCAACCCATTTTACTTCAAGGTAGGGATGGGAAGAGTGGTGCATAGACCAAGAGCATTTTTGATCCCAAGCAACATTCCTATTTTTAGAAATATATAATTTGGAAAATATGTTTTGTCTTCAAGGAAATTTAATCAACCCCACCTTCCTCCATGGTTTAGGAACAATTTTGCTATGTTTTCAGTCCATTTTAGTCCAGGATAGGCTTTTTTTTAAAAAAGCGCAATAAGTGTGGTAGATATTTATTGGAGAAGGAGGCCAGTTGGTTCATGCAGTCCTGGTCCATTTGGGAACCAACATAATGCTGCAATCCCTGAGTTTTGTTCATTCCTATTTTAAGGTCAAATTATTCCTTTTGGGTTTGAGGGAATCTTGAGGACTTTAAAAACCTACAAGAACATCTCTCAACTTCCACCAAAAATTAATCATAGAGCCACACTGGAGGACCTAGACATTCATAGAAGTGTTTTCTTTAGGACTGTATAGCAGGACTCTTTGATCAACTTCCAGCGGAATCTAATCCATGAATAAACAAATGCACCACAGGCAAATCTGCAGATGTGTTTCAGGAGCAACTTGAGAAACTGCAAGTCACTTCTGGTGTGAGAGAATTGGCCGTTTGCAAGGATGTTGCCCAGGGGATGCCCAAATGTTTTACCATCCCGTAGGAGGCTTCTCATGTCCCCACATGGGAAGCTGGAGCTGACAGAGAGGAGCTCACCCTGCTCCCTGGATTCAAATCACTGACCTTTCAGTCAGCAGTCCTGTTGGCACAAGGGTTTATGCCATTGTGCCACTGGGGGCTCCAATAGTAGTAGTAGTAGTAATAATAATAATAATAATGTTTTATTTTTTGTCCGCCTCTGCTGATGGCTCGAGGTGGGGTACCACAAACATATAAGCATAATATACATACACATAGAATATTTTTCTATACATCTCTAGGTCCTTCAGCCCACATGTCTGTTGGAAGTTGCCCATAGAATCACATTGGAGGGCAAAAGAGTTTCTAAGAATTTCTTAGAACATTTTAATCACATTTGAGAATAATCAAATGGAGGGCTGACTGGGCATGTTGGGCCTCTTTCCAAAAGACAGCTGTATAGATCAATAGAGTTGGAAGAGACTACATGGTCCATTCATGGGGTCACCAAGCTGAAGAAACATATGCACATACAACCAAGAGCTGTGCAAACATCACTGCTTTTTATGGCTTTTGAGTAAGGAGTTATGCAGTGCCTCCTTACTCAATGCTTTACTTGGACCACATGACAGCAGTGGAATGGCACTATGGCCCAAGTTTATCCCCTTCAGTCTCAATAGTCATTAGTTGGCCAAATAAGTGCCAGAAGGTCACCCTTGTTCCTCCATCCCTCCCCAGGGGCCATCCTTATATCCTCAATGTAACCAGAGCCTGTGCACTATATCACCAACCCTACCAACATGAAAGCGAGATCAAGGTTCACATTTTCCCCACTGGTGTTTTTAGAGAGTGCATCTACAATGTAGTATTGATCCAGTCTGACACTACTTTAACTGCCATGGCTCAATGCTATGGAATTATGGGACTTGTACTTTTACAAGGTCTTTTCTGTCAAAGAATGCTGGTGCATCACCAAACTACAAATCCCAGGATTCCACAACATTGAACCATGGCAGTGAAAGTGATGTCAAATTGGATTAATACTATAGTGTAGATCAGGGGTCCACAAACTTTTTAAGCAAAGGGCCAGGTCACAGTCCCTCAAACTGTTGGTGGGTCAGATTATAATTTGAAAAAAAAATACAAATGAATTCCTATGCACACTGTACTTATCTAATTAAAATTAAGAATAATTTTAACAAATATAAACTTATTAGTATTTCAATGGAAAGTGTGGGCCTGCTTTTGGCTGATGAGATAGGATTGTTGTTGTTGTTGTTGTTGTTGTGCACTTTCAAGTCATTTCAGACTTAGGTTGACCCTGAGCGAGGGCCAGGTAAATGACCTTGGAGGGCCGTATCAGACCCCCGGACCTTAGTTTGAGGACCCGGGTGTAATTGAACTCTGTCACTATCTGCATAGTTTGTTGTGTTCACTTAATACTCAAGCAGTGACTGGGACCCAGTGTATTAGGTGTTGGAAGTGATAACCTGACCTCCCCACCCCCAATTGCATTCTCTACAGGGATCTGCATGTCATTTTTTGAGACTGGCTTTGACTCTGAGGCCATTGATTGGCACAAGGATGGCACGAAAGACTATGGTATTTTCCACGTCAACAGCGGCTGGTGGTGCAAAGATGAATCTCTTGACAGTTCATCAGAGAACCTTTGTTCCATGTCTTGCAAAGGTCAGTGTCTCTGGTCATTGGCCAGCTTCCTGTTAGTGGCATTATGCAGGGATGTGATTTTGCACAGTAATCAAATCCCATTGACCATGGGATTTGATTATTGTGCACATGGGATAGTTATTTGCTTATTTAAATCCCATATTTCTCAAAGTTAAAAGAGAAATAATATATTGCTGTACACTTGCTGCTATCCCACTGTGAGATAGTGTCAACTTATTGTCTTGATGATGGGTGGCATTGCACAAAACCTGGAGAACCTCATTGCAGAAGATACATTCCATCACTACGGGATGATCAGGGGCTTTGTCCATTAATAACCCATGACGTCTAGATCCCAGGGAGGTGGCAGACCAGCAATGATGTTGTGTGATAGGGATCATCAACACTGGTGATGGTTCTGTTACTGTGCCCTTGCCCACCTCCATGCGATAAAGTCCATGGTTTAAAATCTCTACCAAATACAAAAGCCTAAAGCAGGGTTGTCAAATTAATTTTCATCAGACTTTTGGTTGTCTTCAAAGGGTCATTGTATCCATGAATGGAGATACAGTGGATACAAAGGGCCACTATTTATTTTTAATGCAGTGATGGGTCCTCTCTAGTTTTAACCCAAGTTTTAGCTAGAAAATTCTTGGAAATATAATCCTAGGAAGGAAGGAAGGAAGGAAGGAAGGAAGGAAGGAAGGAAGGAAGGAAGGAAGGAAAAGAGAAAGAGAGGAAAAGAAAAAGAGGTAGGAGATTGGGTTGCTGTGAGTTTTCCAGGCTGTGTGACCATATTCCAGAAGCATTCTCTCCTGATGTTTCACCCACATCTATGGCAGGAATCGTCAGAGGTTGTGAGGTCTGTTGGAAACTAGGCAAGTGAGGTTTATATATCTGTGGGGATGTCCAGGGTGGGAGAAAGAACTCTTGTCTGCTGGAGGCAAGTGTGAATGTTTCAACTGACTACCTTGATTAGCACTGAATGGTCATGCAGCTTCAAAGCCTGGCTGCTTCCTGCTTGGGAGATCTTTGTCGGGAAGTGTTAGCTGGCTCTGATTGCTTCATGTTTGGAATTCCCATGTTTTTAAAAATGTTTTTCTTTATTTGCTGTCCGGATTTTAGAGTTTTTAAATACTGGTAGCCAGGGAGGGGATTTTTCCAAAGTCAGTTCACAATAGAAACCACAGTCATTCAAAGGTCTGGTAGCTGGTTCTATATGACTCTAAAGTGCTGGGCTTTGTGCCTACATTCCAATTCTCCTAAAACATTTCAATTATAGATTTTCTTGCTCATTGCATATAATGTGTGACTTGAGTTTTTAGAGACCTTCCTCCACTTACCATGAACAGAAAGAGAAATTATGGTACAACACTGCAATCTGCTGGCTATGTGCCTTCAGTGCAGTACATGCTTTTCACAGATTTTGCTACCACAATTCAGTCTTTTCTTTCTTGATGAAAGAGGCAGTAAAGAAACCCATGAGAATACCAGGTGTATCTACCCCATAAAATCCAGTATTCCTACTCTCCCACTGCCCTGATTTGGCAGGGATGGTCCTGATTAGTCCTTTGTTGTCCCACTTTTTCATCACTTTTAAAATGTTCTCGTTTCTTTCTCTTCCTCCCTCTTTCCCCCTTCACCCTCTTTACACTTCTTTAGCTAGAAATGGATTTAGGGAAAGAGTATTGCTTTTTATAGGCAAAATAGACCACTCTAGCTTCTCTTGATTTATATGTTCTTCCTCATTAATAACTTCTGACATCTTGATGACACAAGTCACAATCTCGCAACATATTGACACCACTCTGGCTTTGCTCTGTTCTGGTTTTCATCTGTGAAATGTTGGAAAAATATGAGTGTTTGTAGCAGGACAGGAGCCCCAGGTTGCAAAGTAGGTTAAACTGCTGAGCTGTTGAACTTCCAACCTGAAAGGTTGCAGGTTCAAATCCGGGGAGTGGGGTAAGCTCCCGCTGTTAGCCCCAGCTTCTGCCAACCTAGCAGTTCGAAAACATGCAAATGTGAGTAGATCAATAGGTACCATTCCAGTGGAAAGGTAACAGTGCTCCATGCAGTCATGCTGGCCACATGACCTTGGAGGTGTTTACGGACAACGCTGGCTCTTTGGCTTAGAAATGGAGATGAGCACCACCCCCCAGAGTCGGACATGACTGGACTTCATGTCAGAGGAAAACTGATTCTTTGAATCCCAGGCCCCTTCTAAATTGCCATATAAAATCCAGATTATCTGCTCTGATAATCTGGATTATATAGCAGTGTAGAAGAGGCCCTAATTTTTGGGAAAAGTGGAAATTAATCAAAGAAATACATCTACAGTGTGACTCCCATATCCATGGTTTCACTTACCCACGGTCTGATACATATTCTGTCCTGGAATAGTTTGTGATCCTTTTTGGCAGGCATGGGCAAACTTCAGCCCTCCAGGGGTTTTGGACTTCAGCTTCCACAATTCCTAAAAGTGTACCAGCTGTTAGGAATTTGCTGGAGTTGAAGTCCAAAAACCCTGGCGAGCCGACATTTGCCCATGCCTGCTTTATGGTATGCTTCCAGCCTAAGTTTAGTCTAAATGTAAGCTGCTCTATAATCTGTGTTTTCAGTGTGCGTTGATACTATAGATTAGACTTTTATTACTGTACAAGGGTTTTCATTGAACTTGTATGACAGTTTTTGCTCTATGTTCCTACCTTTTGAACACACTTTGGATTTGGAGGAGCTTTGGTTTTTGGAGAGGGGAGAAAATTAACATTAGCGTGCCCGCCAATTGTCCCAGTTTATTAGAGAATATCCTGATTAATCCTCTCTCATCTGGGGTCAGGGCTGTAGCCAGAAAAAAAATTCAGGGAGGTTGAAAATTTGGGGGGGGGGGTTGAAAATTTGGGGAGGGGGTTGAAACCTGCCTCCTAGCTCACACTGAAGCAAAGAGCACAGCAGGGGGAAGAGCAACCTTCAATAGCCTGCAGCTCCGCCCCTGTCAACCACCTCCATCAAGTCTGGCCTCCTTAATGACAGCATTCAACACCCCCCCCCCAACTTTGTTGCTTCACTACATCAGCTATTGCTGCAAGTAATGACAGTGTGAATAAATTGTCAATATTTGCTTGAGATAGTGCTTGCAACCTCAGATATGCAGATGACACCACTCTGATGGCCGAAAGCGAGGAGGAGCTGAGGAGCCTTCTAATCAAGGTGAAAGAAGAAAGCGCAAAAGCTGGGTTGCAGCTAAACATAAAAAAAAACCAAGATTATGGCAACAAGAATGATTGACAACTGGGAAATAGAGGGAGAAAACGTGGAGGCCGTGACAGACTTTGTATTTCTAGGTGCAAAGATTACTGCAGATGCAGACTGTAGCCAGGAAATCAGAAGACGCTTACTTCTTGGGAGGAGAGCAATGTCCAATCTCGATAAAATAGTGAAGAGTAGAGACATCAGACTGGCAACAAAGATCCGCCTAGTCAAAGCCATGGTATTCCCTGTAGTAACCTACGGATGTGAGAGCTGGACCTTAGGGAAGGCTGAGCGAAGGAAGATAGATGCTTTTGAGCTGTGGTGTTGGAGGAAAGTTCTGAGAGTGCCTTGGACTGTGAGAAGATCCAACCAGTCCATCCTCCAGGAAATAAAGCCCGACTGCTCATTGGAGGGAAGGATACTAGAGACAAAGTTGAAGTACTTTGGCCACATCATGAGGAGACAGGAAAGCCTAGAGAAGACAATGATGCTGGGGAAAGTGGAAGGCAAAAGGAAGAGGGGTCGACCAAGGGCAAGATGGATGGATGGCATCCTTGAAGTGACTGGACTGACCTTGAAGGAGCTGGGGGTGGTGACGGCCGACAGGGAGCTCTGGCGTGGACTGGTCCATGAGGTCACGAAGAGTCGGAGACGACTGAACGAATGAACAACAACAAAGTGCTTGCAGTTCTGGAGGGACTCTTAATTTTTTGCGTCTCATAGACTTAGCATGGAGATTTGGTTAACTAGTTAAAATTCATGAGTAAACCAGTTTTTTTTTACCTGAAAAATTTCAGGGGGGTGGTTGAACCCCTAACCCCCCCCCTCCTGCTACAGGCCTGGGGTAGTCTTAAAACAAAGTTCATACTTATGCAACAGGGACAATGCCCAATATCCATGCCTTGTCTTTCTTTCTTTTTTCTTTTCCTTTCCAGATTTATTGAATGATGACATTAAAGATGACATCAACTGTGCCAAGAAGATTGTGCAAGATCCCCAAGGCATGGGGAGCTGGTACGAGAGATCCTATGCTTGCCACCCACAGATTGTCCTGATTTACCCTAAACGACACAGCTTTCATTATCCCAGTGGCTCCCTCTCTTCTATGTTCACTGAAGGACTGGGATCTTTGTCTCTAGCCCTGGCCCTGTGCCTTTTGTGGTAGCCAAACACAAAAGAGAATTGGCTGTCTGCAAGGACGTTGCCCAGGGGACGCCCAGATGATTTTTGATGTTTTATCATCCTTGTGGAAGGCTTCTCTCAGGTCCCCGCATGAGGAGCTGGAGCTGATAGAGGGAGCTCATCCGCCTCTCCCCGGATTCGAACCTGCAACCTGTCGGTCTTCAGTCCTGCCGGCACAGGGGTTTAACCCACTGCGCCACCGGGGGCTCCAATGAAGAGGGATGATGGGAGTTGTAGTCCAGCAACATCTGGATCTCAGTCCTGCATGCCATATTTATAGGAGGGTACTGCAACAGATGGCAGACAGGAGTTCTTATTCTTCTATAATAAGTCCCCTGTAACTGTGGAGTTCACAATCAGGAGTTCCACTTGTCTGAACTCTGGCTGGGCAAAATAGTCTCCCAAGCTGTTGTCGAAGGTTTTCATGGCTGGAATCACTGGGTTGTTGTGAGTTTTCCGGACTGTATGGCCATGTTCCAGAAGCATTCTCTCTTGACGTTTTGCCCACATCTAGGCAGGCATCCTCATAAGTTGTGAGGTTTGTTGGAACATAGGCAAGTGAGGTTTATATATCTGTGGAAATGCAGCATTGCCCAAACATGAATCAAGGAAGATGAAAGGCACTACAGACTAAGAATCAATCAGGGCCAGCTAACACCTCCCAACAAAGGATTTCAACATCAAGCAGCAATCAGCCAGGCTTTGAAGCTACAAGGCCATTCAATTCTAATCAAGGTGGCCATTTGCAAGATTCACAACCCTCAAGCAGACAATTCTTCTTCCCACCCTGGACATTCCACAGATATATAAACCTCACTTGCCTAGTTTCCAAACCTCATAAGCTCTGAGGATGCCTGCCATAGGTGTGGGTGAAATGTCAAGAGAGAATGCTTCTGGAACATGGCCATACAGCCTGGAAAACTCACAGCAACCCAGTCTCTCAAGAATTTACTAGGTGCTCCAGGTAATTCACTGATTTGTATTGTCTAAGGCTTTCATGGCCAGAATCACAGGGTTGTTGTAGGTTTTTTCAGGCTAGATGGCCATGTTTTAGAGGCATTCTCTCCTGACGTTTCACCTGCATCTATGGCAAGCATCCTCAGAGGTTGTGAGCTCTGTTGGAACTGGGAAAATTGGGTTTATATAGCTGTGGAATGACCAGGGTGGGACAAAGAACTCTTGTCTGTTGGAGCTAGATGTGAATGTTTCAACTGACCACCCTGATTAGCATTTGATGACCCAATTCAATGATTTGCTTCCCATGGAAGTTATCATATGCCTCGTCTACACTGCCCTATAACGCACTTTTAACTGCAATATATGGTCATTGTAGATACATGTAATGCAGATTGAATGTGCATACAACTGGATTATATGGGTCTACACTGCCATATAATCTAATTCAATACAGCTAATCTGCATTCTGAAAGTGCATTATATGGCAGTGTAGATGAAGCCATAGAGTCTTCCTGGGGGACTTTGCAAACTCTTAGAGAGGATTCATCAAGGAGACAGCTCCATGGCATGCTGGGACCGGAAATCTGATAGTTTAATGTATTTCAGTCCTGCTTCCACTCACCTTAGATAGTACTTGGATGGGAGACTGCCCATAAATAGCAGGTGATGTAGATTATATTTCAGAGGAAGGAACTGGCAAAGCCACTTCTGAGTCCTCCTTGTCAAAGAAAACCAGTTGAATTTCATGATATTACCATAAATCCACAGGTAGTTTGAAAGCACAGACACAAATGTGATCAGAGAGACAGAATCTGCAGATATAGTAGACCTTTTCTCTACTCTGCACTTGATCACCTTGTGCAAGGCCGAAATAGTCATTTACTACAAAAGCAAGAGGCTAAGGCTTGGAAATACAAGATTCATGAGCAACAACAACAACAACAATTTTATTTCTTACTTGCCTCTCTTTGTGGCTCAAGGAGTATAAATGCAAATATAGATCCAATATGGAAAGCACTCGGATTCCCTGCTCCAAGGGTGTATCTGCGCGGTAGAATTAATGCTATTTGACACCATCTCAGCTCCCATGGCTCAATGTTTTAGAATAATGGAAACTCCAGTTTTACAAGGTCTTCAGCCTTGTCTGCCAAAAAGCAATGGTGCCTCAATCCCATGGCAGCGAAAATGGTGTCAAGCTGCATTAAGTCTCATTAGATGCACCCTTGGTCTAATGCAGGGGTCCTCAAACTTTTTAAACAGAGGGACAGATCACAGTCCCTCAAACTGTTGGAGGGCCGATTATAATTTGAAAAAAAAAATGAATTCCTATGCACACTGCACATATCTTATTTGTAGTGCAAAAAACACTTAAAACAATACAATAATTAAAATGAACAATTTTAACAAATATAAACTTATTAGTATTTCAATGGGAAGTGTGGGCCTGCTTTTGGCTGATGAGATAGGATTGTTGTTGTTGTTGTGTGCTTTCAAGTCATTTCAGACTTAGGTTGACCCTGAGCGAGGCCAGGTAAATGACTGTGGAGGACCGTATCCGGCCCCCAGGCCTTAGTTTGAGGACCCCTGGTCTAATGCATGCTTTCTCAGAAGGAAATACTATTCATTTACTGGTACTTACTCCCCAGCAGGCATGTAGTTGGGGGGGGGGGGGCTTGAGGGGCTTCAGCTCCCCCCCCGAAATTCTCATGGTGGTTGCGAAAAGGCCTTACTGGTGCATTATTTAAACTGTTATGTTTATTCATATCATGATCTGATCACCATACTCAATATATCCCATATGCATGGGGGTATTGGGGTAATAATACAAAAGGTTTGCTAGGGTAGACTCTCTTTCACTCAGACTCAGCCCCCCCCCCCCCCCCAGAATCAAAATCCTGGGTACGGGCCTGCTCCCCAGTAAGAGTGCTTTGGGAGAAATACTTTTCTATTCCCATTGATTTTAGTGGGAAGGTTGGATGATGGCTAATACTTTTTCCCCCTTGTAAGGGTCTTTCCACGCAGCTCTATATCCCAGAATATCACGGCAGAAAATTTCACATTATATGAGTGTGGACTCAGATTACTTACTTACTTCTTACTTAGGCGATCCCTCGTTGTCTGAGTAGGATAATCTTCCAGGGTGGGTCCATAGGTGACTGTGGAGCCCTATTCTTGATCTGCATCATCTCCCGCAGTGAGGGCAGTGGTTTCCAGGTGGAAGGCGGTCCCGGTCAGGTTGGCTTGATATGCCTTTCTATTGGCACATTTCTCTCTTTCACCCTCCATTCGTGCCTCTTCAAATTCTGCAGCACTGCTGGTCACAGCTGACCTCCAGCTGGAGCGCTCACAGGCCAGGGCTTCCCAGTTCTTAGTGTCTATGCCAGAGTTTTTAAGGTTGGCTTTGAGGCCATCTTTAAATCTCTTTTCCTGTCCTCCAACATTCCGTTTTCCCTTCTTGAGTTCGGAGTAGAGCAACTGCTTTGGGAGACGGTGGTCGGGCATCTGGCAATGTGGCCAGTCTAGCGGAGTTGATGGCGGAGGAGCATTGCTTCAATGCTGGTGGTCTTTGCTTCTTCCAGCACGTTGACATTTGTCCACTTGTTTTCCCAAGAGATTTGCAGATTTTCTGGAGGCAGCGCTGATGGAATCGTTCAGAGCCATGGACTCAGATATCCCAGTTCAAAGCAGATATTGTGGGATTGTCTGCCTTGATATTCTGGGATATAGGGCTGTGTGGAAGGGCCTTTAGTTATTTGCAGGGCAATCCCTTCACAATATATGCATTTCTGCTTAGGAGTATGAATTGTACTAACGGAGCCATTTTCTCTCTCTGATCTCCTTCCTGCAGGGATCAGTGGTTAAAGCATTGTAAAAACCAAGACCCGTCGCGCTGGCTGAAGGGGTGTAAGGTGTGAAAATGAATCTGGCCACAATCTGTCTGCTCTCTGAAATTATAAATGATTATTGTATTTTTAATATCACTGTCGAGTGCCTTTTTTACTGGGTGTTATTTCTGATGATTCATTCAATTCTGCAGATTAAAGGGAAATGCTTTCATTCTTGTGCATTCTCTGTGATGCCTGCTAAGTCCTCTTTCTACATGGCAGATTGAGTCTGGATCTTCACTACCATATAAAATGCAGATTGCCTTGAACTGGATTATATAGCAGTGTAGACTCATATAATCAGGTTCAAAGCAGATAATGTGGATTATATGGCAGTGTAGATCCAGCCTGAGTTGATGGGAGGCCACGGTCATGGGACACTCCTTAATGTGAATAGGTGTCCTCCTGTGAGTGTCCATGCTGACCTCATGCAAGAAACAATCTGCCTGTCTGTTTTCCCAAACAAGTGTGGCTTTCCTTACTCCATGGAGATCAACATTATTGTTGTTGGCATTAAAGATGACATCACCTGTGCCAAGAAGATGGTACAAAATCCCCAAGGCATGTGGACCCAGTATGAGAGCATCCTATGCTTGCCACCCACAGTTCCAATTGTTTCCAAATTCTGGTAACCCTCAGGTGAACTATGATGGGATTATCATAGAAAGAGGCTGAAAGTGTGTGACATTCCCAAAGTCATCCAGGTTAGATATACACTACCATATATTTCAGTTCCTGAATCCAGATTATCTGCTTTGAACTGAGTTATATGAGTCTAAGTAAAGGTAAAGGTTTCCCCCTGACATTAAGTCCAGTTGTGTCCGACTCTGGGAGGTGGTGCTCAACTCCATTTCTAAGTTGAAGAGTCGGCTTTGTCCATAGACACCTCCAAGGTCATGTAGCCAAGATGACTGCATGGAGTGCCGTTACCTTACACTGAAGATAATCTGGATTCAGAAACCGGATTATATGGTAGTGTAGATGCATCCCCAGTGGGTTCTCATGGATGAATAGGGATTTGATTCCTGTGTTTCTAGAGATCAGGTCCAGCACCCAAACCACTACACACCATTAGCTTTAGAATCTAGATTAACATTTACAGTAGGGTCTCAACTTTCACTAGGGTTGGGGTACACTGCCATATAATCCAGATTATCAAATCATATAATCCATAGTGGATTATATGAGTCTACACTGCTATATAATCCAGTTCAAAGTAGATAATCTGGATTTCATATGTCAGTGTAGAAGGGATCAGAGATGCAGGATCCCTGTGAAAATGTAAAGAAAAAAACACTAACTTTTTCAACCTGAGAGAACATTTCTCTAGGAATCTCTAGTACCTTCATCATAACTCTATAGTCAACTATTTGACCATAGAGTCATTCTCATATACTTCGGGTCCTGACCCCAAATAAGATCCCCTTAGCTTAGCTCAATGTTGGGGTCATGAAAAATTTGGCAACAGTAACTCTGTTAGCAACATCCTGCAGTGTTTATAGTGGATTCTGCAGAAAATGCTTTATCTATACTTGATAAAAAGATTAAACTTGTTCATTAAGCCTTGCAAATGCTTATTTGATATGTTTGAATTTATCTCTATTTTCTATACCTAGATACTTGGGGTCTTGAAAACATTACTTGGCCAGAAAGGAACCGCAAGTAGAAAAAAATTAAGAAGACCTGCTCTAATATTCCTAAGGAACATTTTCATCAAATCTACAACCAAAGACTAGTTATGCTTCAATGAAAGAAAGTCTCCCAATATGATGACAGAGACATCATTCTATAATGGCCACTAAAGCTAGATCCTGACATACAAAAAAAAAAGTTGTGAGACTGAGGTCCCTTCTACACTGCCATATAATCCAGATTATCAAAGATGATAATCCACATTATCTGCTTTGAACTGGATTATATGTCTACACTGCCATATAATCCAGTTCAAAACAGATAATCTGGATTTTATATGCCAGTGTAGATGGGGTCCTACTCAGCTACTAAATGTGGTAAGCACCACCACTGTTCTCTAAAGCACAAGGATAGGAAAATTTGGCCTCCAGGTGTTTTGGATATCATCTCCCATCACCTTATTGAATAACATCTGGAGGGTGAAATTTTACCCTTTTCATACAATATTGGAATGTATAGGGTACATTCTGAGAAGTACAAACTGGTTAGTGTCTATTCATGGCAGTGCAGAATTTGTTATATAATGGAAATCAAACACAATGGTGATGTGAAAGCTACTTTATTAAGCATTAGGAGTGTGAGAGTATACAGTTCTGCTTGGGTCTGAAACAGACAAAAATGCAAGGTATAAGAGATGCTCCGCTTAGTCTCCCTGGCATTGTTCCAGGCTCTTTTCAGCCTCCACACCTGAGGATTCATGGTGTATGATGCACTTGATGGGTTTTCCAGAGCTGAGGAGGTCTCGGGAGATGTTTAGGATACTGCTGGCACTGTAAGAGCCGTCCTTGTTCAAGACCACCTGGCCTGGGGTCACCCCATCGGTGATCTCTTTCCCAGCCATGCTCCATTTCATCTCCAGGATCCCTGGGTAGAATTGCTCAACTGCGCACAAGGCATGGACTGTGGGAGCATTGGATGTTTGGGAAACATCGGACAAGAGGGTGACTGACGCCGGTGCTTTTACCGATGCTCCTGAAAAAAAAAATGAAAGCAAGGTGGTGTGATTGGATCACTTGGGGTCCATGAATTTTCCTATTTCCTCTATAACAGTGGTTCTCAACCTGGGTCCCCAGGTGTTTTTGGCCTACAGCTCCCAGAAATCCCAGCCAGTTTACCAGCTGTTGGGATTTCTAGGAGTTGAAGGCCAAAAACATCTGGGGACCCCAGGTTGAGAATCACTGCTCTATAGCGTTATGGCTTATTGAGCTTGTCCTAGGATTCAGGTCCCAGGTGCTTCCGGTGTCTGGGACTCTGTCTTTGTGACGGAATGTGTAGGGACACGTGAGAATAGTTGGCTTGCCTAAATGGTTACCTGAAATACTATTAATACTATTAATGTGTGGCCAACTGAAGCATGGCTTTAGAAATATGAGCCATGAGCAGCCTGGCTTTTGGAAACCAGAGATGGAATTGATGGTCTTTCTTTATGTTTTCTGCCTTTTCACATTGCTATTGTCCTTTGGTATTACTTCACTTTAACTACCATGGTTCTGTCCTCTGGATTGGCAGTGGAAGAATGGGCATTTCTATAAAATGCAGCCATGACAGTGAAAGTGGAATCATAGTGCTATAATTGTATGCCGTGGATGGGCCACTGTTTGCTAAAGAGACCAGAGCAACGTTTCCCATTTGTTGACTTTTTGTTCCTCCTTCACCAAGCACCAACAACTAGGATTGAATGTAAAAGCTGTATTCCGTGAGCAAAATTGGTCTGGTAAATCTGAGGGACCAAAATGAGAAACTATTCAAGCCAAATGGTTCATACTGTTTTTGTTTAAGATATTTATATCTCCTTGGATGTCACTTACCGTAGACCCTTTCCCAGTCGCTCACATGCACATATTGTTGTTATGGGCACATATATGCACATATCACTCACATGCACTAAGAAGCCCCCGGTGGCGCAGTGGGTTAAACCCCTGTGCCGGCAGGACTGAAGACTGACAGGTTGCAGGTTCGAATCCAGGGAGAGTGCGGATGAGCTCCCTCTATCAGCTCCAGCTCCTCATGCGGGGGCATGAGAGAAGCCTCCCACAAGGATGATAAACCATCAAAACTCCAGGCGTCCCCTGGGCAACGTCCTTGCAGACGGCCAATTCTCTCACACCAGAAGTGACCTGCAGTTTCTCAAGTCGCTCCTGACATGACAAAAAAACCCAAAAACTCACATGCACATATTGTTGTTATGTGCCTTCAAAGCCCCATCTACTTGTATTTTTAAATAACTGGAAGAATGCTAAGGTCTACCAGAAAAAGCCTTCCTGATAGAAGAGATTGCACTTGGAAAATTTAAAGCAAGGCTGCGAAATACTGTAGGTGCTCCTTGTGTTTCTTATTGGGCTGTTTCTCAGCTCAAAATTAAACCACTCTCAGCCAAGACTGAGTATGAAAACTGAACATGGAACATGATCCTTTCACACAAATTCCTACTTCTGAGTACACTGAGGCAGTGTGAATGAGACTATGCACTGTTCGTGTTGTTAGGCAACTGGAAGTGAGAAATCCTTACCAGTCTACAGCAGATCATAGAATCATAGGGTTGGAAGAGACCCCAAGGGCCATCCAGTACCATGCAGGAAGGCACAATCTAAGCACTCCTGACAAATAGTCATCCAGTCTCAATGAAAAACAACACTAGAGAAGGTACTCCACGGCACTCTGAAGCACTGTATTCCCCTTTGAGCTCTATCAGTAGATGTATGTAGCTCTGTCTAGTCTCCTACTCTATTGGCAAAAGTCATAGGATTTACTACAATTTATTAATATCTTTGAATATGAGGCTTATAGATATAGTATAATGTAGCTTTGCAGTTGTGATCTGGCAGCCTCGGCAAACTACTGTATATGAGAATGGCCAAGCCCATGGCTCAGGGCTATTGTCCTCTACAGATTCCAATTTGTCTGGTTAAGAAACTGAAATGCATTTCTTTCTCTAGAGCAGTGGTTTCCAACCTTTTTTTGACCAGGAACTGCTTGACGAGGGACCACTTTGACCAGGGGCCACTCTTCAACATGAGTACCAAAAAGCTTACGAATCAGTTTTTGGGCAATGTTAGATTTGGTTTGGTTATTTAGGGTGCTGATGCAGAAAATAGCATTGGATATAGACCACATCAGCTCTAATTTCTGATGCAGAACATATGCCATCGAGTAGTTGCCATCTGCTTGTCCCCAGAAAACCATATTTAATGAGACCAGTCCCTCTTATTGCAACGGTGTAGTAACAGTGAGGCCACAGACCATATTTTACTTCTTGTGGACTATTGGTGGTCCACGGACCACAGGTAGGGAACCACTGCTCCAGAAAGATCTTTAATTCTCCAGGCCTGGTGTTCTAATTTTTCCTTGAGTCACAATGGAGGGATCTTTCAGTGTTATGATGGATTTTGCATGAAAAAGAGGGATACAATATATGCCTAGTAATGTATAACCACTTTCTCAAGACCTCCCATTTCCTGGTAAGAAATATTACTATGACACAGTAAAATGGTGCCGCATAAACATACACATACATATATATTTATATAAAATTGCAAAATTAAAGTATGCTTTTATAAGTTTTGCGTTGCAGTTTTATTTTACCTTTGGGAAAACAGGTGAAGGAGGACTGAGATTGGCGCTAGAGCACACAGATGGTATGTGTATGGTCCCACATGCAGTCAATTGAACTTCCAAAACTAATTTGATACTGCACAAAGTACATTCTGGCATTTAAAGGATGCTGGCCCAGATTACTTGTCCGAACGTATCTCCTACTATGAACCATCACGAAGCTTAAGATCGTCAGGAGATCCCACCACTCTCGCAAACACGATTGGTGGGGACGAGAGACAGGACCTTCTCGGCAGTGGCCCCCCATCTTTGGAACTCCCTCCCTAAGGACATCAGGTTGGCTACCTCCCTCCTGTCTTTTAGAAGACAACTGAAGACCTGGCATTTGATTAGATTAAGTGACAATAGGAAAGGAATTTGGGTTTGCGACATTGGATTTCCTGGCTTGATTTTTGGTTTTACTGGCACTCTAATATTATTGTTAAATAAATTTATTGGCTGATTTGTATGATGTTTTTAAGATGTTTTTACTGTTTTGCTGTTTTAATTGTATTTTTACGATGTATACATCGCAAGCATCGTTGATGCCTATGTGAGGCCACCCTGAGTCCCCCTTGTGGGGAGAAGGGCAGGATAGAAGAATATGAAATAAATAAATAATAAATAATTATCCTTGATAGTGAAATGCCTTCTCTTAGCATGGCTATCTTGACAACAAATACAAAAGGCGATTGGCACTATCATCCCCATGTTGTAGATATAGTCGAGACTGGAACACATCTCCTTGCCTAAAGCAAGTTGCTCCATTGCAGAGATAAGCCTTCAACTGGAATTTTGTTTGGGAGCAGTGCTAAGCTGCCATTCTGTATCCGCTCCTGGAATCTTTCCCCAAATAGATTTGGTTCCCCTAATGCCCCATTGTTAAGTCCAGGTTGATTTATAGTGTAATAATTGTGACTCACCTCCTCTGATGCTGAGCTGTGTCCCACTCCCTGAGACGAAAGTATTGAAGGAGTTTATTTCAGCTGCGCACCAGTACATTGCACTGTCTTCTGTGCGTGCCCCCTGGATCTGCAGCACGTAGGCATTGGCACCAGCCTCTCGGATGGGTACAAAGCGAGTGCCAAATTGAGAGCCTCGATCTATCCTATTGTCAGTAGAATGCTTCAGCACCCAAGCTGGAGCGTTGGAGGGCTTTTGCTGGAACCAGAAAACATGGTAGTCTTGGATCCTGCCCTTCTCCAGTGGGCAATTTAGGATGGCAGTTGCCCCCTCAGCAAATGAGGCTTGTGGCAGCTGAGTAGGAACAGGTTGGAAAGAACCACCTAGGAAGTAAAATGTAAGCATTTAGGCTCCTTTCACACTGCTCAATAAAATCCCACATTTTCTGCTTTGAACTGGGATATATGGCAGTATGGTCTCAAATAACCCAGTTCAAAGTAGATATTGTGGGATTTTCTGTCTTGATATTTCGGGGTTATGTGGCTGTGTGGAAGAGCCCTTAGAGATCGCATAACACTGGTATTACAAGAACTGCATTAGTTTCCAATTTCATTGCGATATCAAGACAAGGTGCTGGTTTTGATTTACTAAAACCAAAATTAAGTTATTTTTCTGGGAAACCAGCCCCTTGTCTCCAGCTCGGGCCAGAATATTCAATAAACGGCCTCCTCTCATACGAACCTGACCAAAAATTGAGATCTTAGAGGAGGCCCTGTTGAGTGTTCAAATGCCTTGTGAAGTTATGTTGGTATGTACACATAACAGGACTCTCTCTGTAGCATCAGCATCACTCTGAGACTCCCACCCAAGGAAGGCCCCTTCCACACAGATGTATAAAATCCACATTGAACTGGATTATATTCAGATAATCCAGTTCAAAGCATATATTGTGGATTATCTGCCTTTATTTTATTTATTTATTTATTATTTATTTAGTACACTTGTATACCGCTAATATCTCAGCCTAAAACGGCGACTCATTGCGGTTTACAATATTAAAAACAACAATATTCCGATAAAAATATAAAACACATACATATACAATACACAGTATTGGGCCACCAATACAGACCAATGCATCTCTTAACTTAAATCATAATCCAATTTCGTTGTCTGTGATTACCAGTCCTTGATCAAAACTTCATCGCATCGGATTAGCCGAATGCTTGCTCAAACATCCATGTTTTCAGTTTTTTTCGAAATGCCATCAGCGAGGAGGCTGATCTTATCTCTATAGGGAGGGCATTCCAAAGCCGTGGGGCCACCACAGAAAAGGCCCTATCCCTCGTTCCCGCCAGCCGCACCTGTGAAGCAGGCGGGATGGAGAGAAGGGCCTCTCCCGAAGATCTTAGGGTCCTGGTGGGCTGATAGGCCGAGATACGTTCGGATAGGTATGTTGGGCCAGAACCGTTTAGGGCTTTAAAGGCCAATGCCAGCACTTTGAATTGGGTCCGGTAGCTAATCGGCAGCCAGTGGAGCTGGTACAGCAGAGGAGTTGTATGATCCCTGCGCCCTGCTCCTGTTAGTACCATGGCTGCCGCCCGTTGGACTAGTGGGAGCTTCCGAGCCGTCTTCAAAGGCAACCCCACGTAGAGAGCGTTGCAGTAGTCAAGACGGGATGTAACCAGAGCGTGGACTACCGTGGCCAAGTCAGACTTCCCAAGGTACGGTCGCAGTTGGCGCACGAGCTTTAACTGTGCGAATGCTCCCCTGGTCACCGCCGAAACCTGGGGGCCAGGCTCAGCGATGAGTCCAGGATCACACCCAAACTGCGAACCTGCGTCTTCAGGGGGAGTGCGACCCCGTCTAACACAGGCTGTAACCCTATACCCTGTTCGGCCTTGCGACTAACCAGGAGTACCTCTGTCTTGTCTGGATTCAATTTCAATTTGTTCGCCCCCATCCAGACCGTCACAGCGGCCAAGCACCGGTTCAGGACCTCGACAGCCTCCTTAGTAGCAGGTGGAAAGGAGTGACAGAGTTGGACATCATCTGCGTACAGATGACACCGCACCCCGAAACTCCGGATGATCTCCCCAGCGGCTTCATGTAGATGTTAAACAACATGGGAGACAGTATTGAACCCTGAGGAACCCCACAAGACAAAGGTTGTGGGGTTGAACAGGAGTCTCCCAGTAACACCTTCTGAGACCGACCCTCGAGGAATGAGCGGAGCCACTGCAGAGCAGTACCTCCAAGACCCATCCCCGCGAGGCGTCCCAGAAGGATACCGTGGTCGACGGTATCGAAGGCCGCTGAGAGGTCGAGCAGCACCAACAGGGACACACTCCCCCTGTCGAGCTCCCGATGCAGATCATCCACTAAGGCGACCAAGGCTGTCTCGGTACCATGCCCCGGCCTAAAGCCAGACTGTGCCGGATCCAGATAATCCGTGTCTACCAAGAATGCCTGGAGTTGTGAGGCCACCACGTTCCATGACTTTGCCCAAAAAGGGGAGATTGGAAACAGGCCGATAGTTGACGAATTGAGTGGGGTCCAGTGATGGTTTCTTCAACAGCGGTTTTATAACAGCTTGCTTTTACTGGCTGGAAATTTGCCTTCCCGAAGGGAGGCATTAACCACCACCTTCACCCACTCGGCCAATCCCCCTCTGGCCTCCTTTAGAAGCCAGGATGGGCAGGGGTCTAGGATGCATGTGGTAGCTCTCATTCCTCCAAGCACCTTGTCCACATCCTCGGTTTGAACTAATTGAAATGAATCCATCAAAATTGGACAAGCAGATGTTCGTGTTACATCCTCAGAGACTGCCGTTAATATGGTGTCCAGTCCAGAGCGGATCAAAGCGACTTTGTCTGCAAAAAACCGAGCAAAGGCTTCACAGCGAGCTGCCGAGTCATCAGGGCACCCATCCTGAATGGTGGGTTTTAACAGGCCTCTGACAACTCGGAACAGTTCCGCCGGACGGTTCTTTGCAGACGCAATAGTGGCCGCAAAGAAAGTTTTCTTTGCGGCTCTTATTGCCGCGGCGTATGACCTTAAAAAGGACACAAACCGTGTTCGATTTGACTCGCTCGGATCTGAACGCCACACGCCCTCTAGTTCCCTCTTCTTTCGCTTCAACGCTGCCAGCTCCTCAGTAAACCAAGGGGCTGGTTTAGCTCGGCTACTTGAGAGGGGACGTTCTGGAGCGATCGTGTCTATTGCCCTAGTCATCTCCCCATTCCAGAGAGCGACCAGGGCATCAACAGGGTCACCAACCGAGGTGGCGGGAAATTCCCCAAGAGCCGTCAGGAATCCCTCCGGATCCATAAGCCTCCTGGGGCGGACCAACTTAATGGGTCCTCCACCTCTGCGGAGGTTAGGGGGTGCAGTAAGTCTAAAGCTGACCAGGTGGTGATCGGTCCATGGCAAGGAGAGATGGATAACTCCTCAACACCGCCACCTTCCTCCCATCCCTGGCAGAAAACCAAGTCCAATGTATGTCCAGCACTGTGGGTGGGGCCAGATACTTGTTGGGACAGCCCCATGGTCGCCATGGTAGACATGAAGTCCTGAGCCGCTCCCGTTAGGGCAGCCTCGGCGTGGACGTTGAAGTCCCCCAGCACAAGCAGCCGTTGGGACTCCAATGCCAGGTCCGAGACCACCCCCGCTAGCTCAGGTAGGGAGACTGTAGTGCAGCGAGGTGGACGGTACACTAGCAGAATCCCTAATCTGTCCCGGTCACCCACCCTCAGGTGGACGCATTCAAAATTTGTTGACTGCGGGATGGGGGCCCTGGTCAGAAGAATGGAATCTCTATAGACCACTGCAACCCCGCCTCCCCGCCCTCCGGATCTAGGTTGGTGCTGCACGGAGAACCCGGGTGGACAAAGCTGGGTCAAATTTACACCTCCCGCTTCGTCCAGCCAGGTCTCCGTGATGCACGCCAGATCTGCCCGTTCATCCAGGATTAAATCCTGGATGAAAGTTGTTTTACCATTGACAGATCTGGCGTTCAACAGCACCACTTTCAATCCCGAGGGACCGCCAACCTGGTTACACCAACTTACCGTATCAGGAGACCGATTTGGAATTACTAATGTTGTTCCCCGTTCCCTAGGCCGAATCAGAGGTCTCCCTTTCCCGTATCTCCCCTTCCCCACCACGACTTCTATGGGGGCTTCACGGTTAACGGAAGCCACTCCCTCCTCCATGACGCATTCAATATCAATAATAACAACCCAAGGATCATAATAGACTGTCTGACATATTACAGCTCCAATTTGCCATGGCTTTGCCTTCCAATCATTTCCCGTTCCTATTATGTTATATTCGGGACCCCCAGAGCTATTCCATTCCCTCTGACCCCCATATGCAGTTAGCAACCAGATTTTGGGTTATATGGTTGTGTGGAAGGGCAGGAAGTCAGGCTCTTTAAAGTTTTTGTTGGGCAGCCAAAACTGCATCATCCATTTGAAACTTTTGCTTCAAATTGTTGCAAAATACTTTGTTTTAACTATTTTGAAATTGTATTCTAGGGTTGGTTTTTGAAGATTGCTTTTAAACATGTTTATAGAGAGTATTCTGCCTGTTTTGGTTTAATTTTGTTTGTTTTTTGCATTGTTTTAATTGCTTACCTTTGATCATTGCTTCAGGAGCCTCTGTAAGTTGGGAGGTGATACAAAAATATCATACATGAATGAGTTATTGTAATGATAGTGCAAAAAGAAGGTTACACTGGATGATCATGAGGTTTCCATTAGAAACATTCACCCACATCTATGGCAGGCATCCTTATAGGCTGTGAGGTCTGTTGGAGCTGAAAGGCTATTCAATGCTGATCATTCAGGGTGATGAGCCCCCACCGGCGCAGTGGGTTAAACCCCTGTGCCGGCAGGACTGAAGACCGACAGGTTGCAGGTTCAAATCCGGGGAGAGGCGGATGAGCTCCCTCTATCAGCTCCAGCTCCTCATGCGGGGACATGAGAGAAGCCTCCCACAAGGATGATGATAACATCAAATCATCCGGGCATCCCTTGGGCAACGTCCTTGCAGACGGCCAATTCTCTCATACCAGAAGCGACTTGCAGTTTTTCAAGTCGCTCCTGACATGATTAAAAAAATTCAGGGTGAATATTTGCAACATTCACACTTGCCTCAAGCAGACAAGAGTTCTTTCTCCCAACCTGGACATTCCTCATATATGTAAACATCACTTGCCTAGTTTCCAACAGACCTTACAACCTCTGAAGATGCCTGCCATAGATGTGGGTGAACTGTCAGGAGAGAATGCTTCTGGAACATGGCCATTCAACCTGGAAAACTCTCAGCAACCCAGTGATTTCAGCTGTGAAAGCCTTTGACAACACTCTGAGCAAAGAGCTTGAAAGAACTGATAATGCATTCAGCCTGATACAGCCTAATTAGGAAAGGACAGAAATATGGATAAAAGGTTTTCATTACAAAGAAGAATACATGGCTACTTTTATTTGGATTTCTTTATGAATATGTATACAAAAAGGGTTGTCCAACAACCAATCAACAGAGCTTTTTATGTAAACACTCAAGGTTATAAATTCCTATTCATATTGCTATGCTTTAGTAAAACTGCCTCTTTAGATATTTTCCCCCGACTGCTTCTTTCTTCATTCTTCAGAGTGTGCAGAAATAAAGGCTGATCAATTTCCCATATTTGGAAGTGTTTTTTTAATTAAACAATTCTCTGCTACAGTAACCTTGAAGCTAGAGTTGACTTCTCTAATGAATTTATTTTGTATGTGAAGCAGAACATTCCTCCTGATACCGTGTGCCCCATCCACTGTGAAGGGATGGTCTTACTCCTAACCCAACTAGCACAAATTTGGTTGGGGACTTCAGCAGAGTCTTTTCTGTATTGCCCCCAAGGCTGTGGAACAAGATCAATGCTATGGAATCATGGGAGTTGTAGTTTGGTTAAGCACCAGCATACTTTGGCAGAGAAAGCTAAAGACCTTATGAAACTACAGCTGCCTTGATTCCATAGCGTTGAAGCATGGAAGAAAAGTGATGCCAAACTGCATTCATTCTACAGTATAGATGACCCCAAGTTGACTTGATGGCAGTCAACAATAGAAACTTCTATTCACATTTTTAATGAAATTGCTATTTTCAAATTTGATTTTTTTTCTCTCTCTTGTAAGTTTTTGGGAGCAGCAATTCAACAAACTAAATGCCCTCCTATCATTCAACCTAAAATTCCAGTCGGTTTGAACCATTTCAACTTGGTGGGCATTATTGGCAGTTCAAGCAGGCAGCTTGGGTGCCAGGGGCAGAAAATTGGCATTCAGACTTGCTGTGATAGCCCATCCCAGTTTACTGTTCTTGGCCACAAGCCACTCCTTCCCCAGCCATTTTCAGTGTCCTTTGTCACCTTTTTAGTCTTCCCAGCTTGGCATATAGGTCTGTGGATACTCACCACGGATGGAGAGAGCCAGCAACAGGCACAGCAAGATTGTAGGGGAGCTCATAGTCTTTGTCTTCGATGTAGGATCTGTGACAAAACAGCTTCACACTTCATGCACACCCAACCCTTGTTACACAAATGCACATACAGCACAACTGGCTTTATTGCTACCCTAGCCATTTTGCAAGTATTTGCATACTGGTCAATCTATATTCTTTAGTTCTTGCAAATCACTCAACAATTGGCTAGAGGTGGGTATATGCAAAAAATGGCTATCCAAATCAAGGAGAATTTTAGCTCCCCAAAATAATTATGGCAATAATGCTGCCAGTAATTTGTCCACGTCAGCAACAACAGAGATGGAAGCTCATTGGGTTAGATCATTTTGAGTATGGATGCAATCATTTATTTTATTCAGTTTGCAAAGGCGAAGAGTTTCATTTGGAAACATTTTATTAGAATTCTTAAAACAAGTGGAGAAGGAGGGACTCCAAAGCAGATTTTTAGATGGAGAGAGAACAAGTCATTATTTTTACCAACTGCCAAATGTACTTGCACCTTCTGTAAATTCAGATACTCCTCTTGGTTCATTCTTGTTCTTTCCTTATTCAATTTATATGCTTTTGCAATTGGTTGAGCAAATCAAGCATCAGAAATTGTGTTGTGTTTTGTAATGTGAGGGAATGTTTGTTTCAGGAGACTTTGGTCTAAATGCAACTGGCAGATCCATCTAGGGAAAATCCATCAAATCAATTGGATTTACATAAATCTTGTGTTCTCATTCTGCTGTAGATTAAATGGGTTTATTTTAACTGTTTCTATAAAAGCTAATCAGGACGTTTACCTCTAGGAGCGCTTCTAGATGAGTTCCAACCCGTGGTCTGGAGCCTCACTGTTACTACACTGTTGCAATGAGAGCAACTGGTCTCATGAAACCCTCTTATAGTGCCGAGGCTTATTAAATATAGTTTTCTGTGGGCAAGCAGTTGGCGACTACTGGATGGCGTATGTTCTGTATCAGAAATTAGAGCTGATGTGGTCTATCCAATGCAGTTTTCTGAACCATCACCCCAAATAATCAAACCAAATCTAAAGTTGACCAAAAACTGATTTGTAACCCTTTGGGTACTAATGTTGGAGAGTGGTCCCTGGTCAAAGTGGTCCCTCGTCAAACAAAAGTTGGGAACCACTGTTCAAGATGGAGGGCTCCAGTCTGAGTGTTGCTATGTGCTTTTAAGTACTTTCCAGCTTATGTTGATCTTGAGGCAAATAACACTTTTCTTGACAAGATTTGTTCAGAAAGTATTTTCCTTTGCCTTCTTCTGAGTCTGAGAGAGTGTGATATTCCCTACTCACCCAGTGTTTTCTCATGGGTAAGCAGAAATTTGAAGCCTGGTCTCCAGAAGCATAGTATAACACTCAAAGCACTGTGGAAATCTGGATCTCCTCTCCTCCTGAACTATATTTTAAGGAAAAAAGTGTCACTAGATCCTAGAGAAAATGTGGCATTGGGTCAAAACAATTGTTGAAATGCCTTTCTCTTTCGAGCTGGACAGGATAAAATCTTTCCCTCCTACCATCCAACAGACAATACAGTGATAATCTCTTAATTTGAGGTAAGGATGTCTGTGTTATCACCCCTTGAAAGGTGTTGTGAGAATAGCTACTGTTAAAACGGTAATTGTTACGGTACTTTCACGGCTTCATTTCCATCTAACCCCATTATTCATACACACACACTCAAAGACATAAAATTATGTGTCTGTAGTATGCTCCAGGGTAACAATTCACAGGCTATAGTCCACATCACATACTCTTACACTATTAACACATATACTCAGGGCCCTTCCACACAGCCATATAACCCAGAATATCAAGGCAGAAAATCCCACAATATCTCTTTTGAACTGGGTTATCCGAGTTCACACTGCCATATATTCCAGTTCAAAGCAGAAAATGTGGAAGAGACCTCGCTGTTAAGTTTCGGGAAAACTTTTTACTTTCTGGAATGAATTTGGATGAGGCTAGTTTTCCCTGATGAGGTTCCCTGTAGGGGTGCTGAATTACAATCTCTATCAACTCCAGCCAATATGATCATGTTGTATCTGGCAAAATGATTCCTCCATCTAGATACAGTCAAGTTGTTCATTGTGTTTTATGCACAATGAGAAGAGTACATTTCCAAAGCTGTTTTTAGGGAAGTTTTCATTAGGCATATCAAGCAGTTTCTTGGTGCTTCTAAAATAAACCCAAGGCTTGAGTTTAGCACACGTTAAAATCAGGAGGAATCCAGAGATTTTGTTTTGTGATCTTGTCAGCACGTGCATTTTAGGAGAGGCATTGAAATATGGGTGAGCCAACTCTAAGTTGCTGATGTCAAAATGGAGTCAGCAACTGAGCAAATCTTTCATGAGATGGAGATCTTGTTCAGCTCACGACAAGATGGAGATATGGCAGGACCACTGACCTAGTGACACGTCACCTAATCCACTCTGCCTGCCTCTCTCAACTGACAAACAACATAACAGCTGAGCAAATCCGATTGGATAGACGGACATGCGGCCGCATCATGGAACCTCAGCTGATTTTCGGTTCCTCTAACCCAATGAATCGAGATCATTCTAGAAGGTATCTGGGCTAATAATAGGCTGGGGATGGGTGATTCTGACACACCTGGTGACTGTTTTTCTCAACTTGTTTTTCTCAATAGCTGAAAAACACCTAACCGCAAACCACTGCTATACTGATGAGGTTGTCCGAATGGCTTCTGGAAACAGGAGGACTGTCAACAGTAATGTACTAAATGCTTTTCAGTTTGGAATTGGACTTTCAGCCAAGAATATATGGCTACTACTCAACTGGAGTTAATGTGAATACATTCCCAGTTAGATTTGTAGGCCCCAGTTCAACTGACCTTGTTGCATATTGGAAAATGTGGCCCATTTCACACTACACAATTATAGATCAATGGTTGGCATTTAATTGTGATGGTTCCACCCCATGGAATCCTAGGATTTGCCATTTCTGGAGGAGCAGTTAAAACTCTCAGCAAGGCAGCTTGTGGCTCACTAAACTGCTATGGCCAGAATTCCACAGCATGTTGTCATAGCAGATAAACTAGAATCTGTCAGAAATATTAAAAATTAACTAGGTATTTTTAATTGCAAAAATGTGGATGCAACGACTCAGCAAAAGCTGCAATTCTATATAAACAGGTGTGCCTGTAGTTTAGTAGCTATCAGTCTGGTAAATCTCAGAGGGAGAAAGGTCTCTGTCTGAGGGAAGGCCTCACAATGTGAGGGTTTTTTTTTTTTGGTTTTTTGTGTGTGTCAGGAGTGACTTGAGAAACTGCAAGTCGCTTCTGGTGTGAGAGAATTGGCCGTCTGCAAGGACATTGCCCAGGGGACGCCCGGATGAATTGATGTTTTTATCATCCTTGTGGGAGGCTTCTCTCATGTCCCCGCATGAGGAGCTGGAGCTGATAGAGGGAGCTCATCCGCCTCTCCCTGGATTCGAACCTGCGACCTGTCAGTCTTCAGTCCTGCCGGCAAAGGGGTTTAACCCACTGCGCCACCGGGGGCTCCACAATGTGAGGTAGGCCTTAGTCTGTGAGAGAAGCCTCTGTGTGAAGTAAACCTTAGTCTGTGAGAAGGCTTCAGAGTATGAGAAGGCCTTGTGTGAGAGGAAGTCTCAGGTTGAAGGCCTCATGTACAAAGCCTCATGTGTAAAGCTCCAGTATAAAGGCTGCTGTTGTGTAAAAAGCTACTGTGTGAAGCTTCAGTATAAGTTCGTTGTGAGAGGAGGCTCTGTGAGAGCAAAGCTGTTCATCTGCATGAGGAAAAAGCCCAGCATGAAAGCAAAGGAGGTATAAAGGACTTTGTGTTCTGGAAACCTCATTATTGTAAACAGTGCAAGGAAAAGTCTCCTATGGAAGAGATGACATTGGTTCTTTTTATCACTTTGGGCTACTGGTGCTGGGTCACGCTGCTGGTAATAGCTTACTCTGCTGTACATTTATGGGGAGGGTCTTTTGTTAATAAGCCCACTTGCCCAGCAGAACAAAAGTTCCATAACTGTGAAAAGTGGAGGAGCATGAAGTCTCGCATGAGATGTGTCTTCTTGTTTAATATAGTATAAAACTGTATTATTGTAAGAGTGGATACAACAATTTATTTCCTACTGGGTAATGTAATTTGTGTGAATTTTTCTGAATCCAATAATGTAAAACAGCGGCCTGTGTTTAAAAGAGAGATGACCAATGATTTTTTTATTTATTTTTATAAGTTTTTCCTTTAACAGTGAAAGAGGGGGAACAATCATCCAGATAGAAAGATAAGAAATTACAAGACAGGTGGAGTGTAGGGAAGTGCGAAGCCGTGACTCCCACCGCTTGTTACTAAAAATTTAAAACCGTTCACTTGCTGCCACCAAAATATGTGAGGAAGTCTCCAAAATGAAATAATGGTGTAAAATCCCAAATAAGTAGGATCACCACACAGATATAATAAAGATTTGAGACTTCTAGCTTAAATTGCCACCATAATATAAGAGATATTGGTAAAATAATCTCTGGTTATCCCTATCTGTGTTGTGAGGCAACTTTGGTAGTGTGGAATGCTCCAAACGTGGAAATCAGTGAAGGAGGCAAGTTTAAAACACAAAAAGAACAGGTTTATTGTTATCAGAGCGTAATTGTTGCAAAATTAAACTGTTGAACTTGGCACAAGCTTGATGGATACAAAATGGCTTGGTTGAGTTACATTAAGTCTTCCGATGTTACAATCCTTTAACTCTTTCTACAGTGAGGTACTTTATTATTTCAGTGTTCCCTATTGTGAATATTTACAACTGTTTGTCCTTCACCGGATCAAACCAACGATCTCCAGTCTTTCACCACTGGGATCCCTGAAACCCTTTCTTGTTAGATTCTTTTCTACTCAAGCAATCTAACGAGGTTCCACCTTCAGCTTCCTAGCTGAAATAATATTCACAAAACCTAAGAACTAACTGAATTTACACTACTCCACAGAGCCTCCTTGACTCTGCTACTCTCCTCAGGGTCTCATCCGCCTGACTCAAAATAAACTGTCGCTTTCAAACCTTTTCTACTTAAGCTCCGCCCACCTCCTCTGGCTTGTCACCATGGCAACCTATCTCTCTCTCAGCTAGGCCATGGCCACAATGTAAAGCCTAAACACAGTTTGAAACACAGTATAATAAACACTTCTCTACAGGAAGTAAGGGGAGGGGGAGAAGAATAGGTTAAGAATGGGGGGGGGTGGTAATAGGAGGGGTCAGAGGGGGGAAGGAGGGGATAGAAGTATTTTGAACTCCCATTCAGTCCGCAGAGAGATGATCGACAAGTTGTACAATTCTTCTTATGCTTAGTATAATCCATATTCGAGCTCTTTCATAGCACCTTAAATGTCCAATTTAATTTTTTTCTCTTAAGTACTCTCCTAATTGGTTCCAGTTTGTTTGTTTTTCCTTACTCTGTTCCTCTAATAGGTATGAAAGCTTGTCTAAGTCCCTAAATTCAGTTATTTTTTTAATAACTGAATAATTTAATAGTCTTCATTAGATAGAGTTTCCTTGTTTTTCCATTTTTGTGCAATTAATATTCTTGCCACTGAGATCTTTTCTTCATTTTTCTTTAGGTCTAAATCTGTTATATTCAGTAAATAATGCTCGGGTTTCATATCAAATTTTGTTTTAATTATATTTTGAGTATGTTTATGCACCAACAACCAATTTTTTTGGATTTACCTACAGCTCCAGAATAAATGATAATAAGTTCCAGTCTCCTTCCCACATTTCCAACAAGTTCTATCACAGTTTTTATTAAATTTGGAAAGCTGTACCGGTGTCAAATGCCATCGATAAAATACTTTATGCCAGTTTTCTATTATGTTAATAGCTCTCGTAAATTTTAGCTTAGTCTTCCAAACATATTCCCATTCTTTTAAAAGTATAGAGTGGCCTATATCTCTGGCCCACTTGATCATATTCTTTTACTAATTCCTTCTCATTGTTCCATTCTAACAGATTTTGGTATAGTATTTTAATCAGGTTTTTTTCCTTTTCTTATTACAATGTCCCAACATGTGTCTCTTTCATTGATACCCACTTTTTGGTCCTCCTTAAAACATTCCTTAATTTGCAGATAGTGGAACCAGCTTATTTCCTTATCCTCTTCTTCCAATTCCTCCATAGTTCTCAGGCACCATTCATTATTGATCTTTAAGAGTAGTTGTTTATAATTAAGCCATCTATTCCTTGGGATCTCTCTCTTATGGTTTGCCTCAACTGGGGATATCCACGTGGGTGTTTTTTGGTAAATGAAGTCCTTATATTTATTCCAAGGGAGGATCTAATATAATGGTTGGTGAAGTTCTTTTCTATTCTCGCTTTCCCATACCATAAGTAGGCATGCTATCCCCTTCTAATATCATGCCCTTCCAAGGTTAAGGTTTTTTTTTTTCTGTTCTAGGGTGGCCCATGTTTTTGCCCAGGATAAGGCACATGCTTCATAATATATCTGCAGGTCTGGCAGAGCCAGTCCTCCCCTGCTTTTAGCATCTGTAAGATTTTAAAATTTAATCCTGGGTTTTTTCCCATCCCAGATGAAATTCAGGATGTCTTTGTTCCATTTTTTGAAGCATAGATTTGTTTTGATGACCGGAATCATTTGGAACAGAAAAGTCATTTTGGGTAATACATTCATTTTGATGTACCAATGAAATTTTAAAGCAGAACAAAAGTTAACAACATTTAAAGCCCCGGACAAGTTTCTAAACATTGATTCACCAGATATTTTGGACTTCAGCTCCCAGAATTTCTGATTGTCCAGATTGGCCACAGCTTCTGGTTCTTAAAGTGTGCTCTGTGGAGCCCTTGTGGCTCTGCGAGGTATACTGAGGGGCTCAGTGCTTCACGCCTCCTCCCCCTTTTCCCTCCTCATGCATAGGAATTTGTTCATTTTTTTTCCAATTAGTTCACAAAAACACTCTTCATATATCTGCCACTGGCCCAGCCCATCTGTCAAATTTTAAAATCCAAAGCGGCCCTGGGTCTAAAATATTGCCCATGCCTGATATATGTACATTATATAAAATATATTATATAATATATAAAAATTCTTGGGGATCCACAAAAAACGTTTGCTTCGAAAAGGGCTCCACAGCTGAAAAAGTTTGAGAACCCCTGACTTAGAGGATCTAAGTCTGGAAACCACTGGTCTAGGGACTTTACCACACCAACATGACATCTCACAGAAATTGTGTTGCTTAAGCAAATGGAAACATACAAGTATGGAAGCAATTGTGTTCATGCCTTCTCTCCAATAGCTCTATGAAGATGTGTGTTCCCAATCAGTCTTCTGTAACGCATCATTTGACATCCTGTGCCCAGTCTATATAGCTTAAGTGCACTGTTTCATTTCTTGTTTTTAGTCCGTAATTGCACAATTGAGCAGCAAATGGAGGGCACTTCTGGTTTGCGTAATTGCAGCATGTTGTTTTCCATCCTCCCCACAGCACAATTGTGCAATTATGGCAAAACAATTTTAAAAATATGTCTGTAGAATGGAGTAAAGCAATGGGACTTCACCCACTTATGACAAAGCCAAAGGGTGCTATTGCTCAAAATCCCTTGCTATAATACTTTCAGATACATTCCTGTCCAGAATTTACAGAAAAACATTTCAGAATCCTCCTTCCTACGTGGTCTCCATGCAAATGTAGGGACTAAAATAAAACTGTCAGATAAACTATTGTATTTGAATCATTGATTTTAAGGTTTAATTAGAGCTGTTCATCAGATGGTAAGTGAGAGACAGCCACATTTCTAGGATCTTGAGATAATGATGTTTCTCTACACACCACATCCTTCGACAAAACGAGAGAGGTCCTGGCCTTGGCAATACAGTCTCCATGACACCCTGTGAGCAAAGAACAGGTGAGAACATCTTAATTGGGTTATTTTTTCCCGAATGAACATTGATGTTTTAATTTAAGGCATTATTTTCAGCACATTTCATTTCATTTGGACTAAATCTATACAAAGACTATATCACAGCTCCGGTCTGCAATACTCCATCCTGATTTGATCCCATTAAGGCAGGCATGGGCAAACTTGGGCTCTCCGGGTGTTGTGGACTTCAACTCCCACAATTCCTAACAGCCGACAGACTGTTAGGAATTGTGGGAGTTGAAGTCCAAAACACCTGGAGGGCCCAAGTTTGCCCATGCCTGAATTAAAGTCACACTCACCCTTTTTAAATGCAAAATCAAATTTGTTGTGAAAGTCACATCAGATTATTTTAGGTCACAGGACCACAATGGCTGCAGTTTTTTTCTTCCTGGCATTCAAGCGTGCATGCATGTGTGTCTGTGTATTCATCCTTTTCTTTTTTTATGTCAGTCTTACCTCCCGCCTGCACTCCAATTAGATGACTCACCCGTCTCATTCCCATTTCTGTCCTGCCAAGTGATTGAGTGAGTAAGAGAACTTTAAATGCCCTGGCCTAAACTGAACGAGGAGTGTGACTGACTGACAGAGAGACATATAGACATAAACTCACATGGAATAGTTGGGTTGTTGTACGTTTTATGGGCTGTATGGCCATGTTCCAGAAGCATTACCATACAGGCTGGAAAACTCACAGCAAACCAGTGATTCTAGCCATGAACCCTTCAACAACACATCTCACTAGGAATAGAAAGCAGATGGTGTGATGTGTAGGTCAATGACCAAAATATTAATTAGGACAGTGGGAAAGGGCTTTGTTGACTGTCTTTTTGTCTCTTCCCTTGGTCCTGCTCCCTTCGTCTGCCTTGCACTACCTAACCTCTCTCCTCACTTACTCCGTGGTCCAATCCCCTTCCCCTTCTTCCACCCAAGTGAGTGAGTAACTGTGTCTCCCTCTCCCATTCAATCCTCTTCCCCGCATCCTGCTTGAATTACTGAATGACTGATCAGGGAGAGCATGCCATAAATACAAATGACTTGAAGGAACACAACACCAAGAAAAAATAAATAAAAGGGAGTAGGAAAAAAAGAAGACAACATTATAGCCAAATTGACTCAATCAGGAGAGCTGCAATCTTGAGTCTATAAGGTTTGCCCATGGTTACTGATGACTGGGATTCCTGGAGGATCCTCATCCACTGACTGATGCCAACCCAGTTTGAAATATTGATGGGTCTGCTATCGTTAAGCCGACAGAATTAGCTGTTGAAAGGTGAGTTGACATGAAGATAAATTCCACTGATTCAAATGGGATTTATTTATATCAAAGTTCATCATCCAACATTGATTCTAGTTGCCATTAATAATAAGAATCAGGCCCATGTAGCTACATTGGACCTATCCATGTGTAAACCGCTTTGAGTCCCCCTAGGCAGGCCTGTAGCCAGGATTTCAATTCGGGGAGGGGGCTGAGTTTTTTTCAGGGGGGTTTCAGGGGGCGCTGAGTTTCGGGGGGGGGGGGCTGACTGAGTGAAAGAGGGTCTACCCTAGCAAACCTTTTGTATCATTACCCCAATACCCCCATGCATATGGGATATATTGAGTATGGTGATCAGATCATGATATGAATAAACATAACAGTTTAAATAATGCACCAGTAAGGCCTTTTCGCGAACCACCATGAGAATTTCGGGGGGGGGGGGGGGGCTGAAGCTACATGCCTGTCCCTAGGGGTGAGAAAAGTGATATATAAATGCTGCAAATAAATAGAATAGAATAGAATAATGGTCAAAGTAAAGTAGAATAACTTTAACATGAGTCATTCATAAGCTGTGTCCTTGCGATGTTCTGACACCTGAGGAAACAGCTTATAAATGACTCATGTTAAAGTTATTCTACTTTTACAGTGTGTGGAGTGTGGTGGAGGCTCCTCCTTTGGAGGCTATTAAGCAGAGGCTGGATGACCATCTGTCGGGGGAGGTCAGAATGCAATTTTCCTGCTTCTTGGCAGGGGGTTGGACTGAATGGCCCATGAGGTCTCTTCCAACTCTATGATTCTGTGATTCTATACAGCATATGGCTTGTAATGCTACAAAGAAATGAGGCAAGTAAGCTTGTATCCCATCGTCCTTCCCACAGCAATCAATGCCCCCTTACCAGGCGCCCATTCCATTCCATGAATTTAAGACCACAAGCTTAGCACAAGCCGCATCTGCAGCAAGGTTGCTTGACAGCAAGTCTGCAAAGGAAGAAAGTGAAATAATGAGCAACAAGGTTCCTTATAAAAAAATGTTATAGGACTAGAATAGTTTCAGGCTAACAAAGAGGACTCAAGAAGACTGAACTATATTTTCTATCCTTTTATTCCTGGCATTATTCCTATGATTATAAAATCTGCATGTCATGCTGAAATGCAACAAAATCATTGCCCAGTGGTGCAATGGGTTAAACCCTTGTGCTGGCAGGACTGCTGACTGACATTACTATCCCACAATTCAGCCTTGGGGAATGCAATTTCTGAGGTAGTGCATATACAATTTTGACTAGCTCTGTAGACTAGCTTAGCCATGGCTAATGGGAGCAACAGTGACAGGTGGTAGGATATGTCATCCAGGAATCTCTGGAGGGCCATGTGGACCTTGATCAAGTCCCATCCTTGGGAAACCAGTTCTCACCAGAGCATTGAATCCCGCATTCATTGGCGCTTAGCTCATTGCCATACTGGCACCAGTAGCGGCTGTTGATCTGGAAGATGCCAAAGTCAACGCTACCATCATTTTCAAAGTGGAGGGCCTGAGTGTTGTAGCTGCTCTCGTAGAACGCTGTGCAGACCCCTGGAAAGGCAACAAAGAGAGGTGGGAAGGAAGCATGATTTGCTCTCAATAGGGACTCACCTTGTTAAGAGCATGAGATTGTTTCAAAATGCTTGGTCAGTTAGCTCAAGTATGGAGACACTATTAGGGCCTTTTGGCCGGCCACATCTGCACATGATACAAAACATGGATTTTCAAAAAGATCAGGAAATACAGGAAGATAAAGATGGAGTGGGAAGGGGAAGGAAATGATTAGAGGAAAGGTTGACTATAAATGTAACTAATAAGAACATATTATGATGATGTCATTTGGTTTACTACCTTGATGCTCCTGCTCCCAATCCACTCTAGAAAGACAGAGTCTGCCTTCCTCCATACTCTAGCCCAGGGGTTTCCAAACTAAGGCCCGCGGGACGGATCCGGCCCCCTGAGGGCATTTATCTGGCCCGTGGGGTGTGGAGAAGGGGGGGAGGTGGCGGGCGAAGCAGCTTCGGGGCCGCTTCGTCCTCTGCCTTCCTGGGCCCAGCCGGCTCTTCTCCTGCCTTCGGGAAGGGGCCTGGCCTCATCCCGGCAGCAGGAAAAGGGGGAGAGGTAGCGGGCGAAGCAGCTTCAGGGCCGCTTTGTCCTCTGCCTCCCTGGGCCCAGCCAGTTCTTCTGCCTTCGGGAAGGGGCCACGAGCTGCGTGCATCCGCAGAGCAGAGCCAGGTGGAGCAGCAGCCGTGTCCCGAGCATGGTGCACCTCCCAAGCCTCTGCCTGTCAGAACAGGGACTCCATGGGCTTCCCAGCAAGGCAAGGCAAGGCAAGGAGCAGAGGTAGGGGGTCAGTGCGGAGGGAGTGAGCGAGGGAGGGAGGGGTCTCCTTCCACCAGGGAAGCACCCACCAAGACCCTCCTCCTCCTCCTCCTCTTCCTCCTCTGCTGGGCAAGAGCCCCCTCCCTTCACGTACACACACACAGACAACATCTGGGTTGTAGATTTTGGGCTGTATGGTTGTGTTCCAGAAGCATTCTCTCTTGATGTTCTCTCTTTGGTTCCATCCTTCCTTGTCTCTTTCCTTCCTTCCCTCCCTCTTTCTCTTTTTTGTTCCTTCTCTCCTTCCTTCCCTCTTTCACTTTTTTATTTCCTTCTCTCCTTCCTTCTCTACCTTTCTTTCCTTCTCTCCTTCCCTTCTTCTTTCCCTCTTTCTTTCTCTCTTTCTCTCCCTCCTTCTCTCCTTCCTTCTCTACCCTTCTTTCTTTCCTTCTTTCTCTCCTTCCCTCCTTCTTTGCCTCCTTCTCTCCCTCCTTCTCTCTTTCCTTCCTTCTTTCCCCTTTCTGTGTATGTGTTTTGTATGTATATATACATAGATGTGTGTGTTTGTGTGTGTATATATATATGTGGTTTTTCGCATGCATTGTAATGTATTTTTGGGGGGGAGGTTGCTTTTTAAGTCTCTTCCACTGTGTTTTTCAGTGTTTTTATGAGTGATGGTCACTCGTTGGCCTGATAGATGTATTTTGTCCAAATTTGGTGTCAATTCGTCTAGTGGTTTTTGAGTTATGTTAATCCCACAAACGAACATTACATTTTTATTTATATAGATTTTTCAAATTATAATCCGGCCCTCCAACAATTTGAGGGACTGTGACCTGGCCCTCTGTTTAAAAAGTTTGAGGACCCCTGCTCTAGCCTGATACCTTGGCAAATAGACATGGAAGATCAACACTTCCCAAAAATAATGCTCAGTCTCACCTATTTACAAGCAATACCTGACATTTTCATAAATGCTTGCCAACTGATGGCATTTCACCCTACTTACAATTGGCCAGGCTGTAGCCAGCATAGCCGTCCATCCCCAGTTCCTGGAGCTGCTGGGCCACCTCACATCGTGAGAGGTACTGTCCTTGTCCTGTGACCAGGAGGCAGGCAAGGAGCACGAGTGACCAGAGAGACCTCATCATAACTTTTCTAGGAAAGTAGTTAGGAAGAGGCACTGTGCTTGCCTGCTTTTTATAACAGGCTCCCTGGCATGCCTCTGGAAAGGTCATACCACAGTCAACATACCTTTGAGATAACCTTCAGGAGGCAAACCTTCCCCTTGGCTAGTGTATCAACAAATCTGCAGTCCTTGAAAACACAAGGAAGGAACCAGTGATACATCACAATTGTAGCATTATGGTCCCATTTCAGCTGCCATAGTGTGTAGATTCCTGGGGGTTATATAGTCACCCCTAATCCCCATAAAAGTGGGGAAACCATGGATATCTTTAGTGAATGGGAATAAGGTGCCAGCGTTGCTGTCCTTTATTTGGGGTGGGCAGGAGCTCCTTGTCCGAGGAGGAAGAGGAGTAGATCCTGCACACCCCAGCCACTTCATTTACCCAGCAGATCCTGACTTCTTTGCTCTTTTGCTGTGTTACATATGTCTGTTTCATCTGGACATAGAAAGGAGGAGGTACTGGATGAAACAGACACATGGGATAAGGAACACATGCCATATGCAAGGATGGCCATGTACATATTCACACAGCAAACTCAACTTCAGGAGATAGTTCTCAGTGGCACAAGCTTGTGAATAATTAAAACCATGATTGTGAAACCCGAAAAGGTGGAGGGATAGCTGATGTTAGGTCAGAGGCACCAGAGGAGCTCCATGGCTGAGAATGCCAAATAACTCCAAATCTCGGGTTTCCACAGGATTGAACCAGAGCGATGTAGGTGTAAACATAGTGTCATAATTAGGTGATGTAAAAGACAAAATATATTAATCAAGAAGAATGTACTGGTTTCCAAAAGGTACCAAATGGGGAAAATGGGTTATAGCTGGCAGCACATGTTGACTTGGAGTAGAATGTTATGTACAGATCAAAACAATTGATATGTATCAAATTACAGTAGTACAAGGCTTGGAAAATAGCATTGTACAACAAAAGAATGCATAGCCTCAGCTTATTTTTTAGCATTTATAGAATCATAGAGTTGAACGAGACCTCGTGGGCCTTCCAGTCCAATCCCTGCCAAGAAGCAGGAATATTGCATTCAAAGCACGTCAGACAGATGGCCATCCAGCCTCTGTATAAAAGCCTCCAAAGAAGGAACCTCCACCACACTCTGGGACAGAGAGTTCCAGCGTTTAACAACTTTCACAGTCAGGAAGTTCTTCCTCATGTTCAGGTGGAATCTACTGTAGTTTGAAGTCATTGTTCCATGTCCTAGTCTCCAGGGCAGCAGAAAACAAGCCTGCTCCCTCCTCCCTATGACTTCCCCTCACATATTTATACATGGTCCTCATCAAGTTTCCAATCAGCCTTCTCTTCTTCAGGCTAAACATGCCCAACTCTCTAAGTTGCTCCTCATAGGGCTTGTTCTCCAGACCCTTGATCATTTTAGTTGCCCTCCTCTGGACATATTCCGGCTTGTCAACATCTTCCTTCAATTGTGGTGCCCAGAATTGGACAGTGTAATTCCAGGTGTAGTCTGACCAAGGCAGAATAGAGGGGTAGCAGGACTTCCATGGATGTAAACTATACTATTGATGCAAGCCAAAATCCGATTGGCTTTTTTAGTTGCCGCATCACATTGTTGGCTCATGTTTAACTTGTCCACGAGGACTTCAAGATCTTTTTTACACGTACTGCTGTTGAGCCAGCCGTCCCCCATTATGTATCTTTACATTTCCTTTTTTCTGCCTAAGTGGAGTGTCTTGCAATTGTCGCTGTCAAACTTCATTTTGTTAGTTTTGGCCTATCTCTCTAATCTGTGAAGATCATTTTGAATTCTGTTCCTGTCTTCTTGGGTATTGGCTATCCCTCCCAATTTGGTGTCGTCAGCAAACTTGATGATCATGCCATCTAACCCTTCACTTAAGTCTTTAATAAAGATGTTGAACAGGACTGGGTCCAGGACGGAACCCTGCTTATGGCACTCCACTCATCACTTCTTTCCAGGATGAGGAGGAAGAATTGGTGAGCACCCTTTGGGTTCGTCCGCTTAACCAATTACAGATCCACCTAACTGTAATTTTGCCTCACCCACATTGGACTAGTTTCCTTGCCAGAAGGTCACGGGGAACCTTGTTGAAGGCCTTACTGAAATCCAGGTACGCTACATCCATGGCATTCCCCACATCTACCCAGCTTGTAACTCTATTGAAAAAAGAGATCAGATTAGTCTGGCTTGACTTGTTTTTGATAAATCTGTGTTGACTATTAGCAATTACAGCATTTGCTTCTGTTTGCAGACCACTCCCTGAATGATCTTTTCCAGAATCTTGCCTGGTATCGATACAAAACTGACAAAAGTTGTTCAGATGGATTTGGTATCTTTTGGAAACAAGCTTCACATGTAAGCTAGGAGTGGCTGCATCAGTTTGCTTTTGCCTCCTGGGGAGGAATAAGAGCTTGTTTCCTCCTCTCCAGTCCAAACTGCTGAGTTAGTTGAGTGCAAACTACATTTTTGCTTTGATCTGAATCCAGCAATTGTCAGGTATATGCCAGGTCTTGCTGATGTGAAAAGACAGCAAGGAGAGAGAAGCAGGGACTTTCTAAAATTGGGCTAATTGAATCCCATCAGAACTGTTTTGGTGAAATCAGGAATATTGGTGAATACAAGATTGGAGGCATTGATACATTTTGAGATAGAAACTTTTTAGAGGGAGGTTTACCATTTAACCCAGCTTCCACTGCTGCCTCACTTGGGCCAACAGCCTTATTTTGAATGTAAACAAAGAAAGAGATCCTGAGCCAAGTGCTGCATGCATTCAAGGTTATATATTGTTGAACTTTACCAGCCTAAAACTTCTGTTGTTGCCCTTTATTATTTCACTACTTAGTCTGAAAAACTTTATCTTATCGTATCTTATTTTATCTTTAACTTATCTTACATTCAGAACCAAAAATAAACAGTGGGGCATATGATGCCCATGTGTTCTTGTTTGTTATCCCAAGACCAATGGAAAAAATAGCCTATAGTTTCTTTTGAAGGCATTCGCTGAGCCTTCTGTGGTTCATATTTTCATTTTGTCAAAAAATGCAGCTTTCTTGCTGGGAAGGGCACTCATTTGGACTGAAGAAGTGTGTTGTTGCAGATGAATGCTTCAGCTACAGAAACTTCAGTTTCCTAAAGCAATGTTGGCACAGTCCAGACAACTCCAACATCTGAAGCTCCAATCTGATACAGAAATAGCCGGAAGTCTCTGGTTGAATTCAGTGGGATTTTCTTGTCAAGTAACATACAGGAGCCAAAATGTTGTGGTTTGGTCATTGGTTTAGGACTCTGGAAGACCTGAGTTCAAATCCTTGCTCAGTCTCTGATGACACCAAATTGGGAGGGATAGCTAATGGATACAGGCATCATATTACTGGACTGACAGTCCCAGAGTTCATCACCATTGGATATGCTGGCTAGATCTGGTGGGACATGAAGTCCAACAATATCTGAAGGGTTACATGAGTCCCATCTCTGTTGCAGAAGGTGGCAGGTGTAGGATCCAGGGGAGGGAGGGAAGAGGGTGGGATGGGCCTGGAAGGACAATCTCAAGTGAGAGCTAGGAAAAATATTTTGACAACTCCCAGCACTCTTGCCTCCCCGCTTTCCAGTTTGCATACTGTTTTCATGTTGTGGCTAAGTAAGATGGCCACTGGCCACATGTCTTAAATTACTGAAAAAGACAACTCCTTGGCTGAAGATGTCCCTTCTTTGAAGGGCTGCCTAGCCAATGAGAGAGCAGGAAAGCTGAAGCTGCCTGTTGGCAGGAGACACTGAGAAAACCAGACTGTGCTAGCCAGTATGCATTTTGGAAGCAGGACATATTTTTTTTAGTCTTCGATTTTTAAATTTTATTTCACCATTGATCTCTACAATATCCACACCAAGAGAAGGTGCCCTTCGAGATTTCCTAGCTTATCTTATCCTTTGATGCTTACTGAACTATTGATCAATTGATAACACATGACCAGTCCTCCCACTGCTTGGAGACGGCACTGTGTTAGAGGTGATGGAATGGTGCCCACAATATCTTTGGAGCCAATATCTGTCCTTCAAGGGCTAAGGGGACCTACAACAACACTACTTGAAGCAGGATGAATGAGATTGGTCTACTGCATGCTGTGACATGAAACAGGGACTGTTCTAGAAGTCAAGTTGTCATGATGTCACAGGAACCCTGTTGGATTCCAGAAGCCCCTCCATCTTGTGAACCTCTGTCTCCAATCCCAGAAGGATCCTAATACTCCTCTAACATACCCCATGTCTCTTCAGTAAGTGAGCCTCCAGGAGGGTGGGAATAGAGGACTCAAGCTGAGTGAGATATAGACCTATCTACTGCTTTTGTATGGAAATCTGGTCTTCTGAGATAAACAGAGTAGAACAGGTGCACTTCTGTGAGGGAAGTGGGACTATCTGTTTTGTGTCTGGGGTAAAGTTTGGAAATGTTACTTTTTGGACATCAGTTTCCCAAACTCACCAACCAACCTGGTCACTGGAACAGTGAAGATTCTCTTAAACCAGGGGTGTCAAACTCATTTTCACCAAGTGCCACACCAGCCTTATGGTTGCCTTCAAAGGGCCATTAAATCCAAGGACAGAGAATCCATGGATAAAGAGAGCCAACTATAATTTTTACATAATGGTCACTGCTCTTTAGTTTTTACCAGATTTGGACCCCCAGATGTTATTGAGTGACAATTCCCATCACTTTTGATTATCTGCTATGCAGACTGGGAATTGTAACTCAACAGCACTTGTGGCTCTGAGGTTGGGGAAAAGTTAAATTATATTTCAAAGTCAAAAGTAATATCCACAGGCCTTGTATTCAAACCCTGACTAAACAGAATAAATTGCAGTCTTCCAGATCTTACTGTATCACAACTCCCCACAGCTCTAGTAATGATTTCTACTGATGAGGAATACAGGAGCTGTAGTCCAGTGCATCTGGAGGGCCACACAAAATGCCATGGTGAGCTGGATTTAGCATGTGGATATTGAATTTGACACCTTATAAGGATAGCCGAGTCAAGGAACAGTTTTCCATGAACTTGTGACAAGCTCATACAGGATTCATTAGTCATTTGAATTCAAATTGGGGTATTCTGGAGTGAGAATCGTTGGATCACAACTGAAGGATTTGGGAAATTCAGATTGCTATGCTTTACATTTTTCTATCCAAGCATTGGGGTGGGCAAGAGAATAGCTGGCACCTTTCTGAATTGAGTTGGAAGTATGGCTGAAACCAAGTCTACAAGATGTCTCTTAATGACGAACCTGGAACTCAAAGCCTATCACTTATAAAGCTTAGGAAGGTATGGAGAGGAGCATTGCTTGGAAGGCAATTTCAAGTTGGGTAGCCAGGTTTCAGGACCAACACTCCCTTCTCCTGTCCTCAGGATAAGGACAAAGTTGAGGAGCCGGAGCCTCTCACTAACAACCAAAGTAGGCAAGAAAGAGTAGGGTAAGGAGAAAAATTAAATAAATGAAAGGGAAGTGTAGAATAAGAGCCATTTTAACACTATTTAACTGCCATGGCTTGATGTTATGGAACTGTGAAAGTCGTAGTTTTAAAAAGGTCTTTAGTGTTCTCTGCCAAAGAGTGATGGTGCTATGACCAAGCTACAACTCCAGAATTATTGCATTGAGCCATGGAATTTAAAGTGACAAATATTGATCCTTAAAGAGCATGGTATGGTTATGTGGTTAGCCAATGGCACTTCACAGAAAATCCTCAGGCAGGGAAAAGGACAAATGAATTCCTGGGAGAGCCAGCATGCTGTAGAGAACAATATGATGCAGCAGTTTGAGTACTGGCTGGTGATGTAACTTGAGAGATCCTACCAAGCCATAAAACTCACCTGGTATTATTGAGCCACTCACTTTCTCTTTCTTAGCCTAGCCTTCTCCACAGGTAAAGTGGGGAGAAAGAGAGCTGTATCATACTCTCCAACATTTTACAGATGAAAAACATGGCAAGCAACATCAGGATGTGGTCAAGATGGCAAAAAGTGTAAGAGAGACTGCAGCAGTTTGCTCTTGCCCATGTCTACAGGGAAGGGCAAAGTTCTGTGGTGTATTATGCTCTCCCCGCTCCTGTGTTGAGTTGGCATGGAAGGGGAACAAAGACATTTGGATCTTTTAAAAGGAGCTGAGGATTAGTTGAGATTGTTCCTGCCAATTGGAAGGCATGACATGTACACCATCTTGAGCTCACTGGAAAGAATTGGGATAAAAGTGTAATAAATATATAAATATTGAATCTAGATATGGGGACAAAAGGGTCTCACAATGCTTTTTTTCTCTTTCTGTGAAGGTCACATTGTCACCTCTTTCCTCTACTCTACCTGCTGTTGATCGCAGATAGACTTTTCTGCATTCCCTCAGTACTTTTTTAGGGATGAGGTGTCTTCCACTGCTGCTGCAACTCCTGCTGTGCTTTGCATCCAGTATTGAGGGGAAAATCTTCGAACGCTGTGAACTGGCCAAGTTGTTGAAGAATTACGGCTTGGATGGATACCGTGGGTACTCCTTGGCAGACTGTGAGTGTCCTCTGATTTTCCTTCACTGAGTGAGACCAGTCTTTCTGTAGACCACAGCTACTTGCTCTTGCTGATATCTCTGTATATTTCACCTGTTTAGTGAGCACTTGGTATTGGCTGGGGTTTGGTTCCAGGATTGCAATGGATACCAAAATCCATTGATGCTCAAGTCATAGTAAAATGGTGTCCCTTATATAAAATGGCAAATCAAGGTTTGTGCTTTGTACTTTCAAACCATCTTTTCAAGATTTGGATAGTGGGATTTGTGGGTGAAAAAAAACAAATAAAAAAGGCAGATGACATTTGCTTTCAGTTTTGTAAACGACTTTGAGTCCCACTATTGGGGGGAAAGTTGAGACATTAATGTAAAAACAAGAACACGAGCAACACCAGCAACATCCAATGCTCTGTCTAGTAAACTCTATAAAATTAAGTGTGTATGTGTTTCTCTGTGTGTGTGTGTTTGTCAAGTGTCCCTTATTATAAACAGTGTCTCCTATTTTGAGGGTTGGAAAGCTTATCCTTTTATATAAACAAGTGGTTCTCAACCTTTTTTTTGATCAGGGACCAATTGATCAGGAACCACTCTCCAACATTCGAACCAAAAGTATTACAGATCAGTTTCTGGTCAATTTTAGTTATTTGGTTATTTGTGGTGCTGATTGAGAAAATTGCATTGGATAAACCACATCAGCTCAAGTTTCTGATAAAGAACATATGCCATCCAGTACTCGCCATTGATAGCCCACAGAAAAGCATATTTAATAAACCTCAGCACTATAAGGGGATTTTGTGAGACCAATCACTCTCAATGCAATGGTGTAGTAACGGTGAGGCTGTGGATCTTTTTTTAGTTCTTGCTGACCACCGGTGGTCCATGAATCACAGGTTGGGAACCACTGATATAAACTGAATGAGATGCCAAATTTCCTGTATTTTGTGGTGTGGCTCCTTCATAAAGTCAGAAATGTTTGCATCATATAATTTATAAATGTGTGAAATAACATCACTTTTCTAGAGAAACACAGGGCAAAGTGAATAGAAAGTTTTCATTTGATATTTTGAAAAAACAAAAAAACAAACCCAAGTGCTATCTACTTATTGTACTTATAAACCTTGCTGTCCGTTATTGGTTTTTTTAAAAAAACCTCTTTGTGTGTGCGCGCACATGCACACTCACACTTTGCAAAAATGCCTGCTAGGACCATCCCAAGATCATTTGATGCCTGAGGAAAGGGCCAATTTTTCAGGTTTTTCACTTCTGCAGGATGTTCTATACCCTTAACGCCAGGAAATTTGGAGGGCTGACTGTATTCTTGATTCGATTCACACAGAGAAGGGCTATCAAAAAGCCTTTTGTTGCCCCTAGAGCAGAATGTATGTGCTGAATTCCTGCATCATTCTCCTTCTCCTCTGTGGCAGGGGTCTGCATGGCTTTTTACGAGAGCGGTTTTGACACCAAGATTGTGAGACCAGAAGCCAATGGCAGCACCAGCAACGGCATCTTCCAGATCAACAGTTACCTCTGGTGTGAAGATTACAAGCGCTTTAAGCCAAACATATGCCAAATGCACTGCAGCGGTGAGCTCTCTGAAGTGGGTTAGCTTCTCGTCTACTGTGGGATATACTCTACTGCAAAGGGATGAGCAAAGGACATAGTGGAGGGAAAATGAAGCTCTTCCCTTAGTGTTAAGAATGCAAATGTAAGGGTGCAAATTATCTCCCATATACAAGCACACTCAATGCAGAGACAGATCTCTTTTACACAGCACTTTGTACCAAAGTGCTATCAAAGTGCTGTGTGTAAGAGGTCTGTGTCTTTGAGACACAGATCTCTCCATCCTGTAGGGCAGTGGTTCTCTACCTGTGGATCTCCAGATGTTTTGGCTTCCAACTCCCATAAATCCTAAGAAGTGGTAAACTGCCTGTCATTTCTGGGAGTTGTAGACCCACAGGTTGAGAACCACTGTTGTAGGGTGCACCTGCATGGTAGAATTAAATTGGATTATGACTGGGTTCAAATCCATGATCAGGTATGGAAACCCACTGGATGAGCTTGGATGGAAATGTTACTTTTTGAGCCACAACAGAATTCCCTTGGCATTGTGGCCAGTGTCCATACTGGCTATGGGAACTGAGGACATGGAGTTTGAACAAGTATTGTAGTGTCTGGAGCTCTGGTTTGCATGTCTATCACACTTGGAGGAGGGGAAAATATGCTGATGCATAGGTACCAGGTAAGAGAGCTTGAGAAGCAACAGTCTTTGTAAGAAGAAGAGATGAATAAAGGATGTGGGGATGAAGTGTTACCACCCAGGCCAGAGTTGAACAGCCTCAGAAGCTTCAAGGATAGGCAAAAATGACCAGATGTTTCTTGGACCAACAGTAGGGTTCATGTAGATTTACAGAAAAACAAAAAGAAAAAATTGGGGTTCACATGCATATGGATGCCAACCTATCTTGTGTAGGAGGAACAATTGCCGCACTGGAAGACAAGCTTACCTGTCCAAACCATCCAGGAATTTAAGATCGTCTGGGAGGCCCTGCTCTCAATCCTGCCTTCCTCGCAGGCACGCTTGGTGGGGACAAGAGACAGGGCCTTCTCAGTGGTGGCCCCTCAGCTGTGGAACTCCCTTCCCAGGGATATTAGATCGCCCCCTCCCTCCTGACATTGTGGAAAAGAGTAAAAACCTGGCTCTTCGAGCAAGCTTTTGGTAACACGGCATAATTGGATAAATACGGTATGATGAAATAACAAACACGGAACAGCTTAGATGATACAAATGGATAAGGAGTCAAACTGGTAGATACTAATTATTATAATCTTAATTGGTTTATATTTGGATTTTTATTATGTAATATTAAATGTTTTAAATTGATATGTATATATGCATGTTTATGGCATCTAATTGTTGCCAATCTGTACGCCACCCTGAGTTGCCTTTGGGCTGAAAAGAGCAGGATAAAAATGCTGTAAATAAATAAGTAAAAAATAAATGTATACTCCTTTCTTATCTTGACTACTTAAGACAGCCTACATAGGCTTCTCGCCAATGGAAATGTGTGTCTCTCCAACTTGTTTGGCCAGGAGGGTATGGCTTTACTTTTAAAAATGCAGTTTCAATGTAGTATGCATCCAGTCCTAAAAGAATTCAAGATGTGTATTTATTTATTTATTTATCTATTTGTTGTATCAGAAGTGAACCAAGGGTACAGTTGTAATGTATTTAAAAAACACAAAGTTTAAAATCCTGGCATTATATTAGATGTGTACTGATATAAATGGATTATATCCTAATGTGATAACATTCAAGACACTTAGCAGGGGTGGTGTAACATAGGATCAATGTTGGCTTGGCTCTCATGCCCTGTTTCCTCTTTCCTTGCAGATCTGCTGACCAGTTACATTAGGGACGACGTTGCCTGTGCCATGCGGATTGTACAAGGACCCAAAGGACTCGGGGCTTGGTAAAGGAATATATAAGGGTTTTTGGCCTGGATGGGGTGGGGGGCAGATATGTACTCTGTGTCCTTGCATTCCCGAGCAAAACCTTTCCATGTTGGTGCTTTCGGTGCTCAGGAATCACAAGGAATTTTGTTGACAAAACATGGGAGTAATATCTAAGCAATGCTGTTACTCCTAACCATCTGTATGGCCATGCTCTAGAGGAATTCTCTCCTGACATTTCGCCTGCATCTATGGCAAGCATCCTCAGAGGTAGTGACCTCACTATCTCTGAGGATGCTTGCCATAGATGCAGGTGAAATGTCAGGAGAGAATGCCTTTAGAACATGGTCATATAACCTGAAAAAACCTACAACAGCCCAGTGATTCCGGTCATGAAAGCCTTCGACAATGCATAATCACCCAGTTCCTAGAGGAGTCCATAGTTTCAATAGAACTGAACTACCTGCAATGGAAACAATCATCTGATATACCCTTTGACTTCTCAATTTAGTTGCAAAAATGTCAAAGGAGATTAATCAGTTTGTGGTGATATCTCTGGTTTCATAGTCATATCCTACCTGGAAAGTCTCTATGCCTCTACAAATATTACTTTTCATGTTGTACTGCCACTCAGTGGTCATTTTAAAATATGCCTGTTCTTACACAATTCATGGAGAATTTGAATTTCAGCATTATACCAAATGCTTTCACTAATCATAGCTTAAATAACTTATCCCCCCATATTTTTTATTATTTCCCCTACATTTAAGTTGTTGATTAGTTGAAGGTCCATTTTCTTCATTCAATTCTTTCCACAAAATGGTCCTCCCTTTTTCATCTTCTGAACATGCAAAGCAAACTACAGATTCTAAGAATTTTACGTCATTTTCCTTCCCACCATTTTACCTTCATGTTTTCACCCAAAGCAGACTGTAAGCTCAAAGGCTGGCTGAATAGTACCATTAGCTGGGAGTTTAAAGACAACAGTGGATGCACCTGGCTTCAATGCTGTTTGGGCCATAGAATAATGGTTCTATGGAGGAAGAAAGCAAGGCTACATATAGTCATTGGCTTTGTGGCCACATCCTGGACCTCATGCTATCTGTACCAGTGGCCATTCGTGTGCTTTCCATGTTCAGGCACCTCATTTTAAATGTCAGGCTCATACAATCAAAATTACACAACAGCATGATTCTTGTAAGAGTATAGCAAAAAGGAGGAGAAGGGTTGTCCATACCTACTTGAGCTTATTGGAAGAAGCAAAGGGACTGGAATTCTCAATTAATAAATACTTATGGAGCCCCGGTGGCGCAGTGGGTTAAAGCACTGAGCTGCTGAGCTTGTTGATCGAAAGGTCGCAGGTTCGATTCCGGGGAGTGGTGTGAGCTTCCGCTGTCAGCCCTAGCTTCTGCCAACCTAGCAGTTTGAAAACATGCAAATGTGAGTAGTTCAATAGGTACCGCTCCGGCGGGAAGGTAACGGCGCTCCATGCAGTCATGCCAGCCACATGACCTTGGAGGTGTCTACGGACAACGCTGGCTCTTCGGCTTAGAAATGGAGATGAGCACCACACCCCAGAGTCAGACATGACTGGACTTAATGTCAGGGGACTACCTTTACCTTTACTTTATGGTGAGAACACAGGGATAGTCTAACAAGTGTAACATATGATTGTGTGTATATGTGCCTTCAAGTTGCCAGCTGATTTATAGAGATTCCATGAATTTCAGAGTTTATTTGATAAGGACTTCTCAGAGGAAGTTCTACCAGTTCCTTCCTCTGAAATAGAGCCTCCAGTACCTGGTCTTCATTGGCAGTTTCCCAAGTACTAATTAGAACCGGCCTTGCTAAGCATAAAAGATCAGATCCAGTGTCTTCACAGGGGATTTAGACCCTTATGCATAACATCTATGTGTGTGTGTGTGTTCAATTTGCTGTCAACTTATAGTGTTCCCTTGAATTTCATAGGGTTTTTCAGATAAGGAATATGTGGAGGTAGTTTCTGCAGAGACCTGTTGCCCTCCACCTTTTCACAGATGAAAACTGGGTCACAACATTAGTGTGGTCAAGATAGCAAAAGTTATATCTGAGGAAGCATAACTTATGACCTTATCACAGAGGGGAGCTCCTACCAGGCAATTTTGCCAGCAACCGTGGCAAAATGGCAGGTGTGAGAGGTGATGGCAGGTGTGAGAGGTGATGCTATGGCACGGTGATGCTTCCCCCATCATATCAGGGAAGTGTCACCCAACCAGGGCGAAAGTGTGGAGCCAGCACAAAACGGGAAAGCTCCCATGTTTGGAGGGAAGAGTGACCCTGGAAGTCACATGATATCATGGGGCTCGGTCCCTGAAGCAGGCTGGAAGCATCCTATGATGCTTAAGAGAGGTTGCAGCTATTTGTTTTTGCTTGAGCCTACTGGCAGGGACAAGATTCTGGGCATACCCCCCCCCCCCATGCTGCCCCTCCCTACTGCGTAGCCAATGGAGTGCAAACTACTTTTGCACTTTGAACTCAGTTTGCAGCAACTGAAGTAAGCTGAAGAAAAAAGGGGAAAGTAGGGGAGAAAGAAATAAATATTTTAAAAGTAGTTTTAAAAATGGGACCACAGAAGATTAATTGGGGCTCTCGGTATCAAGAGGTGGCCACTGGAGAGTTCCTTTTTCTCATATTTTGGCCATGAAATCTCAGAATCTAGGATGTTCCTGACCTCATAACCCTCATATTTAGGGTTTCCTGTAAATCATTACATCTCTGAGACTGTGAGATATCTTCCCTGGAAATCTAGTATCTCCTGCAAGTCTAGTGGTTTAGTAGTGCTCTGAACCAGCCCTATCTTTAGGTAGAATGAAGCAATCACTCTGACAACAGATGCTGAGAGATGGCAGCAAGATGTGCTAGAGGTGAGACTTGTGTGGCTTGTTTCCTGTCCTCTAGACTAGATTGTTGCCTTCAGGTATGCTTATAAGCTTCTCTTGCATCATTTGGGTGCTGGAGTCTCCTTTTTTGGAGGTTTTTAAACAGAAGCAGAATGGCCATCTGCCAGGGGTGCATTGAATGCAATTTCCTTGTTTCTTGGCAGGGGGTTGGACTGGATGGTCCATGAGGTCTCTTCCAACTCTAGGATTCTATGAAGATATTCAAGTGCCAGTCGGATTGACCATTCATATAGAATGACAGAAGGGCATACAACACAATTTTGTTCGTTGCTCTGACTATTTATTTATTTATTTATTTACAGTATTTATATACTGCTTTTCTCATCCCTAGGGGGACTCAAAGTGGTTTGCACATAGATAATGGCAAAATTCAATGCCTTACAACTACAACAGTAAAATCGCACATTAGATATAAATCATATTAAAAACAATACATCATCAAGCATCAAAACAGTCATTAAAACCATAAAACAATCTCATCAGTTGAGTCGCCATTCCAGTCCTTGTCCCTTTAAAAAGCTGCATACATCTATTGTCCGAAGGCCTGGTCCCAGAACCATGATGATTTTAATTTTTTTCTAAAGGTCAGGAGAGAGGGAGCAGATCTTACTTCCTTTGGGAGTGTGTTCCATAGGCAGGGGGCCACAGCCGAGAAGGCCCTGCTCCTTGTCCCCGCCAGCCACATTTGTGCTGTTGACAGGAGTGAGAGCAGGGCCTCCCTGGATTATCTTAAGTTGAGAGGTGGGACGTAGGCCAGTTTGGCAGATTTCTCACCCATCTTTTGTATGTTTCAATGGGGAATTGTGCCACAGAATGTTTAAAATGGCTACATCTGTTACATGTGTCTTATATTTCTCCGGGCTAAATTCTTTTTGCTTCCGACTCCTCCCTTTCAGGAAAAAGTGGAAGAAAAATTGTGAAGGCGAAGATGTGGATATCTGGTTGAAAGGATGTGAGCTGTGAAAAGACAAAGAGAACCCAAACTCCAAAAATAAGGGCAGAGAAGGCTGTTGGAATGTTTGGCACCAATAACACAACAAACACCCATAGACTGTTGCTATTCCTGGCACTAAACAGCACTAGCTGAATGAACTCTTTTGTAACTCTGGCCTTTGGTGCTAGGAGAGAAATTGTAACTTGGACTTGAGACACCCCTTTTTTGGTATAAAAATATGTGTTCAAACATTGTTATTGAGATGCTATATACATTACAATATATACATGTCCACAGCGTTCAAATGGTCATATTCAAAGATAGCTTTCAGAGGCACATTCCAGCTTTCTCTACATATGAAGGTGAGTACTGCCCTGGCAGAAAGGCTTTCATGAAAGACAACTTTTTGGTACAATCTGCAGCTTCACAGGAATGTAAAACAGCTTGGAAAAATGAGGTTGGGATTAAAGCCAGTGTCCATAATGGCTGGGAAATTCTGGGAGTGGTACTCCACGAAGCTGTGTTCCCTGGGATAGGGAGATACTGTCAGTTCAAACCAGGGCAATTATAAGAACGTTCATAGGTCTAGCCTATGCTACATATGAATGAAGAATCAAATGAAATGTAGAGGTATAGTATGTGTGACTCCTGCCTTGAAAGCCATACAAGGGAAAAGGATTGAAGGGTCTTAGTAGATCACAAGGTAAACATGAGTCAACAGTGTGATACGGTGTCCAAAACAAAAAAAAAAGCCAAGGCAAAACCCCAGGAACAGGCCTAAAAACCAAGATACTAATAATTGTTTTGTTGCGATGTGTAATCTTTTAGTTAAAAATTAAATGTTTCATGTTGCTTCATTACAAAAAAAGTAAAATGCATACATTTAGAGCTAAGCAATTAGATTCAAACAAAACGCCACAAAAAGTGTGCAAACCTTCAGAACTCACCAGCCAAAATTGAAAAATATTAGAAAGCTTGGCATTTTGTTTGGGAACTGTAAAAACTACTTTTGAATATACCTTGCCTAAGAAGACCCTACAAAATTCATGGTTCACCATAAGTCAACAAGGGACTTGCAGGTTCACATACAGTGTTGTAACTTGATGCCCCATTCAACTGCCTTCTAAGGCTGCATCTACACTGCAGAATGTTGACCTCATCAGATGGGGTGAATTCAGCACTCTCTTTATGATAAAAGTTGTTAGTTGAGTTTGATAACACACTACTTGTCATAGCTCAATGCTATGGAGGAGCCCCCAGTGGCACAGTGGGTTAAACTCTTGTGCCAGATTGAAGACCAACAGGTCGCAGGTTCAAATCCAGGAAGAGCGTGGATGAGTTCCCTCTGTCAGTTCCAGCTCTCCATGCGGGACATGATAGAAGCCTTCTACAAGGATGGTAAAACATCAAAAACATCCTGGCATCCCCTAGGCAACGTCCTTGCACACAGCCAATTCTCATACCAGAAGCAACTTGCAGTTTCTCAAGTCGCTCCTGACATGCAAAGTCACCCAGTGAGTCTTCACGGCTGAGCAGGGATTCAACTCTTGGGCCCTTCCACACAACCCTATATTCCAGAATATCCATGCAGAAAATTCCACAATATCTGCTTTGAACTGGGTTATCTGAGTCCACACTCAGATAATTTTTGTTCTTGGATTATAAATGTCATTTCTGAATTAGCTCTATCCTAAAAACATGGGAAAAGTTTATTAAACTACAAGAATCTGGCTTTGCAAGACATCCTGCAGATCTTGCTACAGTTTTGCTAAGTACTAAACATGATATAGCGCTATCAAACCAGGAAGCTTTTTCAAATTTTGTTACTGTATGTGATAGGTTCAATCACTGCCTGATTTAAAAGCACAGGGTCACCATTTTTAATAAAGATTTTGCCTATGGGTACAATTCTAAATTTGAAGGTGTTCTGTTTGAGTGATCCCAGCTATAATAGTTAAGTCTATGTGATTGTTCCACAAAGCAGATAATGTAGGCCTACTGGGCCATTGCTCCTTCAGGGCCCAAGTAAGGGGCCTCATAACTTAACTAGCACTGGGCCTCATTTGTCCTAAATCTGGCACTGGGATTATTTTGGATGTAGTACAAATGTAGCAGACAGTTGCATCAGTGGAAATAAGGGGGGCACGGAAAGAGCCTCCTTGAAGACTGATTAATGTACAGTTGTCCGTCCCCTGGGCAATCTTGTAAATCTTGGCTAATCTTCCCAACCCAAAAGCATTGCTTTACATTTGTCAGTGTGCTGGAAGAAGCAAAAACCACCAGCATTGAAGCAATGCTCCTCCGCCATCAACTCCGCTGGACTGGCCACGTTGTCCGAATGCCCGATCAGTCTCCCAAAGAAGTTACTCTAGATTGGGGAAATGGAATGGGTTTATAGATCTGTGGAATGTCCAGGCCATCAAATGCTAATCAAGGTGATTAGTTGAAACATTCACACCTAGCTCCAACAGACAAGAGTTCTTTGGACATTCACCCTGGACATTCCAGATATATAAACCCAATTACAACAGACCTCACTACCTCCGAGGATGCTTGGCATAGATGTAGGCGAAATGTCAGGAGAGAATGCCTCTAGAATGGCCATATAGCCTGAAAAAACTTACAGCAACCCAAAAGAGAATTTGTCCTCACTGCAGGAAAAGATGCGGATCAAGAAGAGGGCTCCACAGCCACCTACGGACCCACCACCAAGACACCACATCTGGAAGACAATCATCCTCATGCTATGAGGGATTGCCTAAGAAAAAGCTTTACATTTATGCAATGCTTTTGACACAAAATAATAATAAAGTGGGAATAAGACTAACATGAGCTGTGCAACAAGAACATGACATTCAAGTTTCAAACTAAACACTTAGGAAATGGAAGTTATTTGAATCTCTGGTATTTCAGCCTTGCCTCCCCCCCCCCTCCACTCTTTATAGCCTTCAGATTTGGGGAAGAAAGTGGGTGAATGCCTATTCAAATGGCAACACTATTAACTTCCAAGACTATGGGTAGCATTTTGCCATGATGTGATTCAGATTCAACTGATCCAACTAATAAAGAAAAATATTTCAATGGCAGTCACCTTCTGTTTACATCAGGAATTTGACTTCAGTGCACAAAGACCACCAGTTTTGAGGTGAATGCTTTATACAATTACACTGATGTCCAAGTAACAATGGGAACCACCTCAATGCAAACAACCAAAATATGCCTGGATATGTAGACAAAGATGGATCCATGTAGAAATGGAATGAAGTTGCTTTATGGATTGTAGATTTGCCAAGAATAAAAGTATTCCAAATAAAAGGATCAGAAAATTATTTCAGTATTGGGCTTGGCTTTTTCTAAGACAACCAGTGCACAGTGGTAAATCCCTACAAGGGGCCCTTCCTCACAGCCATATAACCCAGAATATCAAGGCAGAAAATCCCACAATAAAGCTTCTAGAACATGACCATACAGCCCTACAACCCAATCCCACAATATCTGCTTTGAACTGGATTATCTGAGTCCAGGAGCTCCTGGTGGCACAGTGGGTTAAACTGAACCACTGGTCACAATCGGGGGAGAGTGTGGATGAGCTCCCTCTATCAGCTCCAGCTCCTTGTGCAGGGACATGAGAGAAGCCTCCCACAAGGATGGTAAAAACATCAAAACATCCTGACATCCCCTGGGCAACGTTCTTGCAGATGGCCAATTCTCTCACACCAGATGCGACTTGCAATGTTCTTGCAGATGGCCAATTCTCTCACAGATGCAACTTGCAGTTTCTCAAGTCACTCCTGACATGAAAAAAAACCAAAGTCCACACTACCATATATTCCAGTTCAAAGCAAATATTGGAGTTTCCTGCCTTGATATTTTGAGTTATATGGCTGTGTGGAAGGAAATGGAAAGTTCCCTCTTAGCTCAGAAGGAGATGGCCAAGGTGGGGATTGACTGCAATACCCATTACTGGGTTGCTGTAAGTTTTTCAGGCTGTATGGCCATGTTCCAGAAGCATCTCTCTCCTTTCGCCTGCATCTATGGCAAGCATCCTCAGAGATTGTGAGGTCTATTGGAAACTAGGCAAATGAGGTTTATGTATTGGTGGCTGTGGCTGGGACCTCACAACATCTGAGGATGCCAGCCATAGATTGCAGGCAAAACATCAGGAGAGAATGCTTCTGGAACATTGCCATACAGCCTGAAAAACTTACAGCAACCCAGTGATTCCAGCCATGAAAGACTTCAATAACACAATATCCATTGCCATTACAGGAGAATAGCTGGAACTATGTTGGGATTTTATACTAAAACACTTCCCAAATCCCCATATACACAGGAGCCCATGCACAAAAACATTTTTCTCTTTGCCAATTCCTCTTTAGGAATAGCAACTTTGTTACTTTGATGCAGTGATAACAAGATGAGTAGCTGTGAGATCTGTATTTATTTATTGCAACAATTACACAATACTTAAGACAATACATAATCTTTATACATTTAAATTATGCGTATTACATGCATTGAACTAAAATTATCCACATTACACTTTAAAAGGCTTAAGTCCGTAACAGTGACATGGAGGAATTGGAACAGTGAAATAGGTTGCATTGATAATAAAGAATGGCTATAGTTTTGAGACAGCTTTAAATGCCATGGTTCAATGCAAAGATATCCTTGCGAGTTGTAGTTTGGCAAGACACAGGCACTATTTGGCAAATAAGGCTAAAGAGCTTGTAAAACCAGCTTCCATGATAATAATAGTAATAGTAATAATAATAAAATTTTATTTATACCCCGCCACCATCTCCCCAAGGAGACTTGGAGCGGCTTACATGAGGCCAGGCCCAACACCACATCAATAAAAACAAAGCAATAAGCAAATAAAATACAATTAATATAACTCACATATAGACAATAACATGCAGATTGAAAAACCATGGCCGGGTCAGATGTAATAGTTAAAAATTTAAAAATAAACGCTGGGCATGAACAGAGGTGGGATGTATCTAGTAGGAAGGTTTTAAAGAAATGTAGGAAGAGCAACCCAATGGGTAATTAAAGTGCTTCTGATTCCATTGCATTGAACCATTCAAGTTAAAGCGGTGCTAAACTGCATAATCCAGCAGTGCAGATGCACCCTTAGTAAGGCCAGGAACCGTAAGAAACAGTATTTTAAAAGAATTTGTAGTAAACAGCAGAGCTTCCACTGGGTTGCTTTGCGTTTTCCAAGCTGTATGGCAGTGTTCTGGAAGCATC